AAACCTTTTATTGTTCGATTTTCATAAGATTGTCCAACAATAAATGATGTTGCTAATGAGGGATAGGTCTGAACCATAGTATCAATCCACGAATGAATTTCATCTAGTGGATGGTATTTATCATATGCAAAGTCATTTGCAATGAGATTAGACGGTCGGAGTTGATGAAGGAGTTTTTGACCGTCAATCAAGGAGCCAATGTCTTTCATAATCACATCATAGTCGATTTTATTCAAAACTAAATATTCATGTAAATCACGAATAGACTTCGGTCCTATGCTAACATCGACCTAAACAAGAATAATCAAGAGTCAAAAATGATTCACAAAGTAGAAATTTACTGGAATATTGATTCGAATATCTTCCGACCAGAAATTGATATTAGATTCATATGCTTTGCGACGTAAATCAGTCAGTCCTTTGACTTGTTCATCAGTTGTAACATTTAGACGCCATAGTTGATGTTGTGAATAGGATTTATAAGCATTAACATCGATACTAAGAGTTACTAGCAGAAGTAAACCAACAAACGAAAGCGCCAACATTTCTTTACTTATGATACATGAAGTATAACCATCAGTTTAAATATTTATACGGCAAAAAAAGATAACCTTTTATTTCGCTTGCATATAAAACTAAATAGTGATGAAGAAGGAAAAAAAACTGCAAGTCATCATGATGACTGTGATGCTCTGCGTACACAAATTCATCAAGAGTATTCATTCACACTATCGACTAGAATGACCAAGCAGTAATATAAATATAACCAGTTTCAACAAAGAAAATTAACGGTCTTTAGTTATTGTGAACTGATCAAGTACTTTCAAACTTGATTTTCGATAGTATATAGCCGAATGTTGCATGTGAAACATCAGAAACAGTGAGAATACCGAAGTCGGCATCCGATATGACCACACAAGAGTTTTTCGTACTTTTTTTGACATTTTCATTTCCTTCCGGATTTCTAGTGGCACCATTAGTTAAATAAACAGGGCCTGGTGGATTTACATAATTGGTCGTATTAATTGTACCTGCAACATAGTAGAAAAAGCAATCTTTTATTCATTTGATGATTAAAGTACGATCCTCTCCAAGATCGATGACATTGAACAATAACCATGGAGTAACAGTTCGATTGACTTGAGTTGTATTATCAAGAAAATTATTAGAAGGATTACCGGGGAAACCCGATTCACATGATAATGAGATAATATGAACAAGAGCATAATTAAATGAAGACCATGAATTTAAATAGTCACCAGATTGTTTACTATGCAAGAGTACGGGACTACCATCTGCAAAACAAATATCTCCGTGGTGTCAGAAGAAATCGATTTCCGGTCATTTTATTTGTAAAGCATTGAGTGCGCGCTCGAAAAGACACGAACTACTAGTCGTAGTTAGGATTAAACCATCTAAACCCATATCACCGTCAGTAGTATTCCCCACCGGTCAGCTTCGGTCACCAATTTTTCGAGCCGATGTAAAGTTGAAAATCACTGATATAGAAACACGATTCGTCGAAGAAATTTGATAATAGTAGACAGTTGATGGACGCAGATTTTGAAGTTCAACACGATAAAATCAAGATATTCCGAATGCAAAATTCATTCTACAAGAGCTAGATTTGTCATGCACTGACGTTGATGTGAGTTGTTTTGATGATGCATCATAGATAACAGTGAGGTTGATAAATTCCAATGGACAAACGCGTAAACGCCAGTCAACATTTATAGCCATATCACCAGCTGTGGCCAAACGAATTTGATCTGGTCTGGGAATAAGACAGCATTTGTATTGATTGATTGTTATGGAGATTAAGAAGAACACATGGAGAATAAATATGCATTTATTCATTGTGCAATGTAACAGTAACTGATAAATTCAGTTTTTATAAATCATGTTGAAAGTATTTATGACGCACGAAGATATTAGGATAAAAGAATCCACCAATCACCATATATGGCGTTAACTCATTGTCAATGTGTAGATTACTCATTTTATAGGTGATCATCTGATCAATGATAGAGTGCAAATGACAAAACGATTAGGGGTGGAACATTTCCATTTATTTTAAATTAACGTAAACGAATTCTGTTAATTAAGTCGAATTAAATTCAATGGTCCACCACAACCCAGGGGCACAGTTAGGTATGATATGGTTCAGACTTTTACGATTATTTCTGACTTGTTCAACGGAAAAAGCAGCTGACTGTCAATTTACTTGTTTAGCTATAGCCCAATATCAATCGGTTAGTTTTCGGCAGTCAACATCCAGTTGTGAACCGTTCACTAATATGCCGAACCCAAATCGCAATTTTATCGCACCAAAATATTTGAATTTCAGCACGCCGGGTTCATTGACACCAGGCATTGGAAGTGGCTGTTATGTAACTTCAAGTGCTGGCAGATCAGTTCTAAATAGTTTTCAATTCGCAACTGCGGATGATCACTAGAGTAGGGGCCCAACGACAATAACAATCGAAGGTACAAACAGCCTGCCGTTAACAACAGGTTCCCGTTGGAGTTGGTTTTACAATGGTACAACAGGAGTGGTTGTATACCGCCTCACATATAGTACTATAATATGGATTGTAAAATGCACTTATTTGGTACAATAGTATCGTAGTGCGAAAAGTTGAAACATCATCAAGGGACTGATACTAACAAAGTTCTATGACTGACCTATATGTAATAATTCGTGATGTATTTGTGGCCACGCCTAGTGAGGTTCATGAGATTTTATTGCAATATTTAACACAAAAATAAAAGATAAAAGCAAGAGTATTTGGTGTCAGTTTTAAGGTATTACTTTCTGGAACAACTACATGTATTTAAAAGAACATTTATACTTCTGAACTTATCGCTCATACTGATCATATCCTGACAATTATCATTTGCGAAATCATCAATAGACATGTTAAATGCAGTAGAAAGTCGGTTCCGCGCGTGAAAACCGAATATCATTATTTGACAGAAATACATGGATATGGAGAGAATTTTCATTCAATACGACAATAACTACATAACTGTCATTGTTGAATTCAGCAATACCTAATCGTTGTAATCCACCGCCGAGTCCTATAAACAGTATTGTTCGCGACGAAAATATTCCCCTGATATTTCCAAAATAGACGTAAGCATAGTTATCAGATTCTACCAGAACGACTATATCCAGCATTTGATCTTTATTAAGATCTACTATGGAAATACCTTTTATAGGGTAGGTCAGATCTATTGATTGTATATTTGTTGTTCGAAATGTGCAATTGCCATAGTCAGATAAAGCAACAAGTTCATATGAACTCCAGTCGTTCCTACAGAATATGATTAGATCGTATTGGCTATCGTTATCGAAGTCAGCAACATGAATGAGCTTGACCGACCAATGGACCTTCAAAGAGATTTTGCAAATTTCTACAAAAGTACTGAGGCTATTTTCAAGCAAAATATCAACCGTTTACGTATAATCACAGTACCTGATCAGATCTATTCGATGATCATCATTGTAGAACTAAAAAATGTTCGCATATTATCTCATTTGTTCATGTTTATCGTTTATGGAATGATGTTTTATAGGCAGCTTCCTAAAGACAAGTCAGTCTCTACCGATTGCTATATGACTCAATTTGAACGAAGGAAGGGATTTATGAAAAGAATTCAAAATAGGAAGAAAGTCGGTGTTAGCTATTATTCAGATCTTTTTTTCGGTGAATTGTTCGGTGTACTTTGCCTTTTTTTAAAGTAAATCTTTAGGCCGTAATATTTTGAATTTATATATAAGTTGATGATACATAAGTTCCTATAGGGTCAAATTCAAAATACGTTGATCCCTATGTTTTGGCAATGTTCATTCATATTCACAGCCGCGACAAAGTTTACGTCTCAATTCACTGCTATTACTTGACAGCACAATGCACTCGATAAAAGATTTAGTGTTGAGTTATAGGGCGATCAGTTGGGAAAAGCCTTTCTTGTTAATTTAATCCATGATTTTGCGGGTTCACTGTTCACCATGATTTCCCCCGGTCATAAAAGAATATTTCTTTTTGAGCAAAACACAAATGCACTGTTACTCTGAACGGATACCAGTTGATCGATCTCGGCTGTTTTTTCCTATCATACAAAACAACAGTCGGTCATCACGAATAAATTGTATATACGAGGCTGTTTGAATATATTTATTTATTTAATCATTAGAAAGCAAAAGAAAACTTCAGAAGATAATAGAATGCATGCTGTCAATCTCAATTTCCTTCAACAACGTTAAGCAATTGTTGGACAGCATTAGCAACAGCATTGTATAGCTGAGCGTTAGAGTCAAGATATTGCTGAACTAAAGCCAACAATTGGCTTCCAGCTGCGCTCGCACCAACTTGACCACTGACAACGCTTTGAGCGAGTTGAGCTACCTGTTGACCAAGTGTTTGTAATTGAGCTTGTGAAAGAGCGTTAGCAACTTGTTCACCGAGACCTTGGAATTGGCTGAGTATATTCTAAAACGAAAAAGTTCAGTTTTCAACAATACCGAGGGACCGACATTACTGCGTATTGGTTAAGAAGATCTTGAACGCCATTCAATGGGAGAGCTTTAACATTGGCTGGACGAGTGAGACCGGCACTACCGCTAAGCAGTTGCTGAACGAAATTCGATACTTGATTGAGAGCTGTGTTTACATCGACTTGTCCACTGAGAACACTTTGAGCAAGTTGAGAAGCTTGTTGAACAATTGATTGCAACTGAGCAGACGAGACATTGTTGGCAGCCTGTTGGACGAGTGCTTGCAACTGAGCTGCCGAAACACCGTTGACTAAACCTTGAAGCTGGTTGAGTACACCCTAAAAACAACAGCTAACTGTTGTAAATACGGTAGAAAAACAATGACAGTACTTGATATTGACCGAGGAAATCTTGGATACCGTTGAGCTGATTAGGAAGATTCTATATATAAATAGAAAGAAAAGATGAATGAGATTTTTTTGCGCAAAGTGTTTTTACAGCTTGAGAAACAAGTTGATTGAGCAGCGGCTTGCCTTGTACGAAAGCAATTGCAGCAAAAACAAGAGCAAGTCCAATTGAAAGACGCATATTCGGCAATACTTCAGTAGTAAATTGAGTGAAGTATCGTTCGATCTGATATCAGCTTTTATAGGATTGTTCAACGTGAAACACATGGTCTGATTTATCCGTGCATCTGGCGACATTTAATCACTATCACGTGCTGATTTTTTGTTAAATACGCACTGGCGTTGGCTGGAACGATAGGATATCGAACGCATGTATCACAAATGGGCAGAATGAGAATTTGATCTGTGATGAATCAATGAAAAATGATTTTTTGTGGGTGAATGAGAGAACGTACGAAATGAAAATTAATCTAAGATTAAATCCGTTTTTACATTAGTGCTTACGGATTGGTCGTTAGGCAATTGATTGTTAAAAATAACATTGAATACGATATTGTATCGGTTTCTTGACATCACTTATAATAACTAGCATGCGGTGTCTTCATGATCAGAGGTCGCCGCACGTAGCATGTTTTTTTTATTATTTTCGTACAGGCTGTGATAACATCGAAGACAATAACATTCTATTCGATTTTTCACAATCCTTTTTCAATCACTTTCGTCGTCATTTCGCACAATGGCACACTTCGTTTTTTCTCCTCTATCTGGCTGCACATATACTACATAATTCATAAAACTATTTAGAGAATCTTTTGATATACGTTGTATATCAATTTTGTGTTTTGAGAGAAGTTTTCTGAGCTGTATAATATCGTACATAGTAATGTTTTGCCATTGAAACACGAATGATGGAATCGTTGAATTACTTCTGCCCAACATATACCGACAGAACAATTATGCACTATAGATTTTTGTTATAATACCCACAGACAGTTAGAAGAGAACGTGATTCTTTAATAAATTCACTATGATAGTTTCCTTTGGTCATAAATATCTGAGCAGTTACTCAATATAATGTGATTTGTTTGAGTTAGAATTTCACTTCCTACAAATGCTTCAATAACATGTGCAATTTTCGTGGTTGCTACAAATACCATTGCTATATAAGGAAAATTATAGTATTGTTGGAAAATACTAAATACAATACGGTACATCTGAGCTCCAGTACAATCTGGATTTGTTAAGTTCAAATTATATTTGTACTTATGTTTGCCAACTACTGATACGTCCCTCGGCGTCTTTCTTAGTGAAAAATACCATTCTTGATGAGAAGAAATAGAGATAAGCATAAAACCATTGGAGCGAACATCTCTTCGAAAAAAGTAATTACAATGACAAGAAGTTTTTTATAGCAAGTACTATCGGATATATTTTTCGTCTTAAGCCTTTTGTAATGTAATTTGGTTTGTTACGTGCCCTATTCTTTCATCTACGGATCCTGATTGAAATTTAATTGCGTTTTTGATTTCAAACGGCGGTACTCATGCCAATAAATAATGAAAATCTTTACAAAAGTCTATGAGTATTCATTACTGTATTAGAAATAATAAACTCTAGTTAAGAAATCCTGCAGAGAATTTGATCCAGGAATGGCGTTGGATTCCATTAACAATTACCACAGATTTGCAATAGCATTTTTATCGAAAATGCATATCGGTCTACGGTTAAGTTGAAACTATTTATGACTTGATTTGGTACATGGAATATCTCGTAAGGAAAACTAACAAAGTGCGAAAGCGTGTTTCTCCTTTTTAATTAATTTACACTCATCATCTTCAAGAAGTCAATGATTGAAAGTAAAGTACAACGTTCATTATCTTTCATGAATGTCTCATCTTGTCGAATACAGATAGTCCAGAACTGAAGAGGGTTAATTTGACCTGTGTAGTAAATGATAAACTTCACCATTTTACGTATTTATTCATAGCTATAGATGCCAGGGTATAACTGCAGTTTAACCTTGAATCAATTTTGACATGTCTATGTTCAGGATTCTAATAGATTCGATAGAGTTTGCATAAAAAGAGTGAGAACGGAGAATTCTTTACCCTGAAATTGTAGCGTTTTTCAAGTCTTATTTCTTCGATGCAATAACGACAATTCTTGGGCGCGTCTGATGGAAAATCGCGAATCATGTGAATACCGGTTCCACAATGTGATTCAGGCTGTTTGCGGTTCAGATGAGTAACAAAGTAAACATTGCCTTGTGCGAAAGTTTTCGGTCCAGAAAATTGAGTAACTTACCTTTCTTTACGTAGCACATGCTCTACTACTCTGTGAATGTGGATAGAAATGCAATTTAATTGAGTATAAATACGTACTTTGAATAAGAATTATTTCGTTGACGTTGTATTGATTAGAGAGAAAGAGGTGAATAGATGTCTATCCCAAATGATCGACCACTGAGAGATAATATTAAACACATATGTAATGGTTATATACACGCTCGTGCTTACACGCATGAAATCTGGCAAGAACTGAGGCAAACATCAACGACTGGTCGACTCAGTCTGAATCCAGTTGGATAGAGCTTTGCGGAGGTAGAATCTGACGAAACTGATCAGTCGTGTGACAAAGGAATCGGTATACGTTCATTAGGTCCTAAAGTTCCTATTCTCGTTCCGACATGGTAGTTGTCGTGATTGGACCAGTAGAATCTGATTAAGGTTAGGGTTAATTTTACAACAACAAAAGATTTCATTTCAATCGGCGCGTTTCGAAAATTTTCATTTTCATCATCAGGCCAAAAGCAAGAGGAATTATATTGAAATGAACATAAAGCAAATTCAAATACTAAATATAACTGGTTCACACATAGTGAGGATTCACCTTTTTATTCATTCAACCGTTTGTTTTACTGCTATATGTTCATCACAATATAACTCCTTTTGTTCTTGTCCTAATGATGAAAATCAAAATTTTTAAAACGCGTCGATTGAAATGGAATTTTTTGTTGCTTCAAAGTTAATCCTAATCTTAATCACCTCGACATCCTTCAGAAAACATGGAGAGTACCCAGATCAATCCAGAAAGTGTTCTATATGTTTCATCTTTCTTTTAAATAACGTTGCTATAGCAAACTATCCTTCTATAATTAATGTGGTTGCTGAAAAAGAACAGAAAATAGTTAGAATGGATTGTTCGGTTAATTAAAATTTCCTTTTCATATTACTTTCAACTGTCGAATCTAGAAAGCAAAATAAAATCTAACAACTTTAGTTCACAAACGAAGACAATTCTTTTGCTGATCAGGCTCCTCATACAAGAAATATGATAGCGAATTTTCTTCGTTGACTCAATCAGTTTAATCTGTTCGAATTAGAAATAATTCATTTTGGAAAACTTCAATCTACGAAAAGTGTTCCTATAAAAAAATCTATCTAATTCTAATATCACTATGCTACACATTTCTTTTTGTCTATTCAACATTTCAAGGTACAAATCAAGCTATCACCCTGAAAATACATCTGAATCAGAGAGAAGACCAGTATCAGTACGTGATGCAAAAGTACAAGTACTTTTACTTTAGCGAGTGTATTGCGTCCTGGAGATTTTTAGGTAAAAAGTACCAAGTATTTCACTTAGTAACTGATCTCTGAAGAGCAGAACTAACACATCTTGTGTGAATGCATGCAAATAAGTGTTAATTAGAGATAACAGTGAACAAGAACTCTTTATTACCTTTTAATTCTAAATAATAAGAAGGGACAGAAAGACAACAAAATGACAATAGACATACATCAAAATGAGATGAGACAATCGAGACTATGTTAGTTGGTTGTCCGGATATTTCTAGCAGTATAAACTATATTTAACGCATGGTCGCGATGCTGGATTAGTTTATGTTTCCATAAATGTTGTACGTGAGGAGATATGAATGCTAAAGTGATTATAACACATATAATTGATGAAATAAAAAGTAACCATTGAATTTGTGTTGACCACCATGGAACATAACCTTCAAAAATATATATTAAGAAAATGACTAATGAAGGAACAATAAATACCATTAATAATCCAAGAAGAATACAAATTCTAAATAATACAATTAAATCGCGATGAGCAGTTATTTGTTGAATATGTGTCATTATTTGGTTTAAACTGTTATTAGCTTGTCGCATTTTTCTAACTGTATACATATAACATCCGATAGTAATATACATTGGAAATCCATAAACTAACGCTCCATTCACGATTACACTACGCAGATCTGTAAAATCAAGTTGACATTGATAATCATTGATGCGATATTTAAATTCACCAAAAACAAATGTTGGAATGATAGTCAAAAAACAAAAACTCCATTGACAAATGATTAATATTAAGTAAAATTTGAATGAAAGAATTAGCTGTCTTCTATAGAAAACTACTCGACATAAACGATAAATTGCTTGAAGTGTGTTCGAATAAAACACTGTACTTATTGAAACTAAAAGACAATAACCGCGAAATTCACAAGAAACTCTATCGTTTAAAGAAACTAACGAATAAATATGTCCTCGTATAACATATGTGTATTGTATTAGCAATAGAATAGAAAAAGTAAACATAGCTAAATACATATTTGCTGTAAGGAGAAGTGGTACTCGATTAGGTGAACGATTTTGTTTAAATAGGTGGGGAAGAATAAAACCAAATATTCCGAATGATAGACACATAGTTAATGAGGATATTGCAATTATTGAACTATCCATTATAATATTTGCCAAGTGGTGACTTGATGAATTCATTGTTACAAGAGCATGAAAAACAATTAAAATATGTAATATACTATATTATATATAAAACTGCTATTCTGAAAATATAAAATAAGTAGCTTTTTAGCTTAACGTAAGACGGATAGAGCTGTAATATGTTTTAAAAAAAGCTTTAATAAAGTATCGCTATTCGGTGGAACAGATAGCGTATGTCCCTATGATACTATAGGTGTCCGCAGAAAAAAAGTATGACTAGATTCTTTTATTAACCACGAAATTTCGATAAATGCATCATCTATTCTACACAAGTAGCGCTCATCCGTTGGATTAGCTGACCCTTTTCTGAAAGAATTAGAAACGTAGTAGATAAAAACTCTCACTTAAATCTCAATCTAATCGGCTTCGAGTTGAAGTCACTTTTACTCACATTCTTTTCGTTTATGTCAAATTACTTTCAGTTCATTCGTCTAAAGATGTAAGCAAAACGAACACAGTTTCTAAGCATTTATTCATCGACTCTCGCCTCCGACTATTCAAAATCAAAAATCAGTTTCGAAACGAATCAATTCATTTTCTTCTATTTCGTCTTAAAAAATCATCACCTTTATGTTACTGTGTGACTCTCGAAAATAACACTTGACAAACGAACCATTGTTTTCAGTGGCTGGCATCAGATGATGTTTGTGTAAGATAGCTGTTTATAGAATTGTGATGTCACCGATACGCTGCTGACTATGAGATCCAACAATTGGACGTCGGTTATTCCGTTTTGCTCTACATATTGCCGCTGCATACACTATTGCCTGAAAAGCTTCGTTGAAAAAAATCATTCTTTGCCTTAAAAACTAACTCCGAATTCGTGATCCTCAGTCCCGATTGCCTTTCGGCAATCATTTTCTACTGACCAGGGTTAAATTTATATTGCTTTATAAAATGCTGCGATTTGATTGGCTTAGACAGAAAAAAATTTTAACGAGTTTCAATGCGGCTATAATCCTTGCTTTCAGAAAAAGAAATACAGAAACATAGTTTGCTTTCTCCTTACTACTTTCATCAATGATTTGACAGAAAATTTCATGACTTGTCTAACTGCATTTAATATTGTTTTGTTTGATAAAGTAGTTAGTGATTTTCAATAATTTAATTATAATAAATCTGATAATCTTTGTGCGACGATAAAGACACGCTAATTCTATATGATATCAATACAGAAATATCGGGTGTCCCATAATAAATATCCTTCTCGGCATTTTGCTAATTTTTTTTCGAAAAGATTTAAAGCCATCAGTTTTCAAATGTGCGGTATTCCTTAGCTGATTAGTTTGCTTCTGTGAGCTAAAAAGGCGTACAACCCCCAATGCACTTCGATTTTTCTGTGTCTTCGGATGCATTATTTCTGACAAAGCTGACTGAAAGATTTCAGAACAGAATTTTCGTTCTCCATAAGTCGATCAGTGCCAAAAACAGATTGAAATTACCGATTTGTCTCGTTCTATGTCTGACGTAACTCATTAAAAGCATTTTCTACTACCTTGTTGTTATAAAAATGACAGCAAACATTTTACCTCTGCGTCATATTCAATCTCAGCGTGTAATTAATTCCCTTTTTAATAGCAAGATTAAAAAATCCAAGTAGCTTGACTCACAAGGCTTAAAACTCTAACGTCATATGAAAACAAAATGAACTTTTTCCAAGCCTATTTAAAAATTTGGTGCTTGAAATCGATGATTTGAGAAATTCTCATTTCTAGTTGGCTTGGACAAACAAATAAACTTTTAACGATTTTTTAACGCGGCTATTACCCTTTCTTTCAGAAAAGGGACTATCATATGATCAGACATGACATCATATGGAATCTTCGTATCTGTTCTTTTCGTTCTGTTCAAACCTATATATATATGTTTCATCTTTCGTTAATAAACGTTGGTTCCGCACCTGATAAGATTTTCTGCTAATTAACATCCAAAGAGACAACACCTATGTCACAAGCTGTCGAACTACGTAGATCATGTAAGCTTATCTATGATCTTTGTGGATAGCTTACGCAGTCTAAAACCAACTGATGATTCCTTAGCCATGATGAAATCGCGATAGTGGCGTACTTCGACGCACCCTCACTCCAAATTTTTATTCGTATGATCCTCATCACAATCGAGCGTATTAGGAAATCTCGTTGCGTTGTTTACATATGAGTTGTTTGATTCTGCTTCTTATTGTAATCCATATCCTGTGGTATAGAGCAAAACGAATAGTATTTTGCAACATTTATTTAATAATGAGTACACAATACGAGAATTAAAACAGTAGAATGAACGGAAGGGAAATCTATGTGCAAAAATAGTTTGCGAATAGAATATCAAAGTCAATTGACATAAACTAAGGAGTAGCTAGATTCATGACTTCAGCTGCTAATAGTTCTCTTGAGTATAACTGAAATTCATCTAACAAATCAGAATATTGACCTGTGGTGATCACACCAGATGCACAAGCACCAACGTTACTCGGTGAGGCACCCAATGTAATTGTCACGGGTGCGTTGATCGTCGACCATACAAAATTCGGTGATGATGTATTGAATAGCGTGCCATTAATCCATAGTCGCAATCCATTCAATGATGAATAAGTGATGGCGACATGTGTCCATACTCCAGTAGAGATGAGGGGTCCTATCAAAGAAACCACACCGCTGCTACTACAACTTTGAACACCGATATTGCCTGCATTTGTGAAACCAAGCATTGGCATTGACCATGTTATAGTCCCTGAAGTAGGTGATACATGAACAATCGTGCCACCTGCGACTGAAGTAGGTCGAATCCAGATGACGATGGAATAGGAATAGCCGTTTGTACCCAAATAGACAAGACCACGAGCTTCAACAAAAGACGAACTGTTCGATAGTTTTAGACTTTGATTGACTCGACCAAAAGGGGAATACTGCACATTGATACCAGTACCATTAATCCCGAGAGGACCGTCATCAAGTGTATTGTTGTTGAATGTATATGAAACTGTAAGGGTAGCATCTCGTAATACCTCAGCAGCACTGAAAACAAACAAAACATTTTTCTTATTGGTGTAAATCATGAGCATGTGCTTACCTTTTGGCGCGAGAAAAATACGTGATTTGGTCGAGACAACCATCCCAGAAGTTCGGTGAACCGACCCCATTGGTACCAATGGTTAGATCACCACTGATACCTTCATACGGGCCTTTAAGAGACCCTGAGTTATCAAGATCTCCATTAACATATACTAATTGTTCTCGATTCTGATAATCATAGACAAATGCCATCTAAAAATATTGTTAACTAGTGTGTGTAGCGCATAGATGTAGAAAAACTTACATGATACCATACTAGAGGCTGAAGAACTAGACTACCACTTATATCATCACCGTAGAATCCCAAGTAGATCGTTTGATATCTCACTGTAATATGCAGAGAGCGGCGCACGGTGTTTTGATCATGTTGACCAAATATAGCATTATCACAAATTCCAATACCGCATCCAGTTCGGAACGAATTCGCTCGAGCCCAAACGGTTAAGGAGAACGATGTATACGCCATATTCAAAAACGGAGGTTCGTAAACCGTCACCGATTGATTTAGTGAACCGTTGAGATACAAACATGAACCATAGCCGGTAATTCCAGGCGATTGGTAGGTTGGATTGTTTTTCCCACTGCCAGGAAAGTTTCCGTATAAGTCAAGCAGATTATTGTCGAATGCCCAGAAGATTCTCATCGCTGCTCGTAAATAAGAATTAGCTGATATCTGATGATATGTGTGCGATACATACGTGTTTGACACTGTGATCCTGTCCAGACATCAGAAATACATAGACATGTATTATTGGAAAGCACACAAGTGCCACCATTGAGACAAGGTGGACTGCAAATCGCTGAAAAGAATTTAAAATATATATTAGTTCTACCCAGATAAACAATAAGAAAATATACGAAATTTTATATTTCCTACAAGGTATCCTTTGTGTATCATACATGTAATTGCATAAAATATTGGAAATACCTGTCGTGTTTGTCGTTGACGCTGTGGATGTTGTAGTCGTCGTTTTGATGTTAGTATCTTTTATAGTAAACAAAACTTCAAATAATTTACAAAAGCAATTTCTGTACCCTTTCTTGATAGAATTTTCACAAGGATTCCAGCAAGAAGAACAGCAAGAAAAATCCCGCCCATGGTTGATAAAAACGTGCACAATGGAGTACATGAGCAGCAACAACGCCTAAAAGTAAAAAATCAACGTGGGATTCTGAGCAGTTATCTATCTACTTTTGCCGTTTTTTTCGTTTTCGATGATCGTCAAAAGATTGTATACGATTTTCTTTATTTGTATATGATCTACTGGAAGCCTTGTTTTTCTTGATACCAACAATTGGATGAGTGACACAAGATATTCCAGAAGGTAATAATGATGCAAAATTGTATGGTGTCGTCTGCTTGATTGAGAACTAGTTAAAAAAGATAAATAGATAAGATATATGACATCAATAAAAAATAATACTGATGAAAGATCATTCTGGCCGTTTTTATCCGGTGGACTATGTGCTAATGCATCTTCTGCCGGTCGAACGTAGGTGTTGGGATAAATCTTTTGAGAAATAAATCTCGTACAGCTCGCTCCGGAATGCTGTTTCGTTGATTGAGATACTATGTCACTCTACAAAACTCAATTCTTCGGTCCGTGCACGAGTGTCGAACGATGGATTAGCATACCTTTTCCAACGATTCACGAAGAGATAATTTGGTGATTCTTACGCTGGATTGATACGAGTGACACTGCTTGTTCTTACTTTTTACTTGGCATCTTGTTCGGATCGGCTGGGGGAGAAACGAATCGCTGTGAATATTCTTCATTGACGTTCAGTAGAAGATTGTTTAAACAGAATTTTTTTCTCAATATATATGATTATATAGAGGTGCTTCTTTCATTATTCGAGAAGCTGCACAAGACTTTGAATCAAAATAAGTTCGTTAGGAGCAAAGAAAACCATCATCGAACAGCATAGTTGATTTCCTCTCACTTTCTCGAAGGGAGAAGAAGCGAGACTTCATCCACCTCAAAATTAATCAAAAAGAAATGTTTTTTTTTTAAATTTTGCTAATAACTGCGATCACTCGATCCTAACTGTACAGAGAAATGATAGAAAATAATAAAAAAAGCTTGTCAGCGCAGTCCCTTTGCGGCTAAAATGTGGAACTCACATGTCTGGATTTGCAAAGCGAGATTGTGGATTAGAATAGGATATATAAGGAGTCAGCTTACTTTAAGATCATCTCTCTCAGGCTGGTAGCATTTACAGTAGTCACAAAAGGTGTGAGCAGTTGATTCAACTGAAGAATCAAATATACAATTGACTGTCCTTAGTTTAATATAGTTAGAAATATTCGATGAGAATTATTTAGAATTCCAGACAACGCGAGATTTTTCTGAGTGAAGTGCATGTTGAGCCATTTTCGCATCATTTAAAATATACAGAGTAAGGTCCAAACATCGCAGCAAAAAAGATAACGAATTTGCATTTGAAATGCAAATATTTTTACTTGAATGGTAAATAATAGAAATTTGAACACGTTGATAACATTTTTCTATGTTCCATAACTCTAATACTCTCTACATTCCTAATACTTCTATAGGTCATACGGCTGCAATAATCGTTGCAGTGCCTGCACCCTGTGTAGGTCCTGCCGTCCTTGCACTCTGTGACCCCGTAGCGGTTAACCCTGTATAGCTGAAATAGCGACTTGCGGCCGGTGGGGGAGAGGGAGGGGGAGGCCCAAAGATCCTGGATATAGAACTTGCACTCACTATTTTTCTTCGAAAAATAATGTGAGTTTCACAAAAGTTTACTAGAAACACCGAAAGACTGAAGAGTCTCAATTTCTTGAATATCATAACCGAAAAGCGAAGAATTCTCAGGAATAGACGATAGCCAAGTAACTGCTTTTTCAACAATCGATGTATGAAGTACAAATCTTTTAGATTTCCTTAAGCTAACCAGCTTTTTCTTAGTCCATAGAAGTTAGCTTTTTCAAAAATAAGATTTCCATCGATAGTATTAGAAAGAGCAACAAGATACTTATTCCGATGAGCAGAACAACAATCTTCAAAAGATAGTTCATCAAGTACATAAACAACAAATACTTCATTCCAATGAAGACAGTTTAGACAGCGTCGCAAAGAAATACAATAAAATTTAGAGATATTTTCTTATTGCCTTTGAGTCATCAACGAAAAGACAGGATAAATCCATGTAAAAATAGGCAGCACATGAGAATAAAATAAAACTTTACGAAGATGTGCTGAAGAATAACCAACAAGTTTAAAAGAACGAATAAGAGCTACTATCGCAGGTCATTGCAGCTCGGTCGGCTTCAGCCAGTTATGTTTATTTTCCGAGCGTTTACTGTGAACTCTGAGCCGAAAACGATCAAGAAGTGACCGGAAATTTCCTTTTAACTTCCGACCGGAATCCGGAGGCAAGGAATTTGCCGAATTCGGTTGATCCCCATGTTTTTCGAATCTTTGGTTTTTTCGTGGAGCGTCTCTTAATCATTAGCTCTCGCGTTTTGGTATAGTCTTATTCCAAAGAATTATTTGAAGCACATATGCGTACATTATACTCTTATATTATGCATACGCAAGTAAAATCCATACAGAAAAGACGAAGCAAAGACAGTTTTTCTCACCTCAATAGACTTCTTTTGAATGTTACATTGTACTTACAATCCAGCTATGTACATCTTGAGGGCTGGTGTTTATGTATCATGTTTAGAGAAAAAGAAAAAAGTGATTTTTTGACCAATAAATTCCATTTTTTAGTCGATGATCTCATCAGAATCAATTGGCCTGGTATTCATAACTACATCCGGATTTATTTGGTTTTTACCAGAAAAACACCATAGTTTGCATTGACGCCAACATTTTTTAATCAAAGCATGCTTCACTTGGCGTCGAAATGCTACGCAAAACATATAGAATGATACCTATTAAGAAAGAAAAACCACGATTGACTAAAAACACAAAGAAATCACTTGACATAACTTACTGCATAGTTCAAATTCAAAACTGTTCCTAAAATAGATGATACCAAGTTCTGAATAGCAAAGGCACAAAGATTCGACGAAGGAGTAATCTTTGCAACATATGTGTAAATTCGAAGAACCGTGTATGGTAAAGTTAAAATCACGAAAATAATGACACGAATAAGTACCATTCCTGTTAATTGTTGGTCAAGTCGACGGCGAAACACTGGAATCCGTCGTCGGATGATTCGTCGGACATTCTGATACGATAACAGACTAAGTAATGATATGATTGTCATTGGTAGAAAACCAATAAGGACAGGATAGTAAACATATGAAACATAGTTTGCCATCTGATGGTTAAATATCGTACATACATCTTGTTGAATATCGAGAAAAATAGAAAATGGTACTGTATGCAACAACGAGATAATAACAATAGCAACGGTAAGGCAACGTGATAACTTAATAGTTTAGACTTGCCTGAGAAAGAAAAGGTGACTAGTGGAAAGGNCAATAAATGATGTTGCTAATGAGGGATAGGTCTGAACCATAGTATCAATCCACGAATGAATTTCATCTAGTGGATGGTATTTATCATATGCAAAGTCATTTGCAATGAGATTAGACGGTCGAAATTGATGAAGGAGTTTTTGACCGTCAATCATGGAGCCAATGTCTTTCATAATCACATCATAGTTGATTTTATTCAAAGATAAATATTCATGTAAATCACGAATAGACTTCGGTCCTATGCTGACATCGACCTAAACAAGAATATTCAAGAGTCAAAAATGATTCAAAAAAAAGAAATTTACTGGAATATTGATTCGAATATCTTCCGACCAGAAATTGATATTAAATTCATACGCTTTGCGACGTAAATCAGTCAGTCCTTTGACTTGTTCATCAGTTGTAACATTTAGACGCCATAGTTGATGTTGTGAATAGGATTTATAAGCATTAACATCAATACCAAAAGCTACTAGCAGAAATAAACCAACAAACGAAAGCACCACCATTTCTTTACTTATGATACATGAAGTATAACCAGCAGTTTAAATATTCATACGGCAAAAAAAGATAACCTTTTATTTCGCTTGCATATAAAACTAAATAGTGATGAAGAAGGAAAAAAAACTGCCAGTCATCATGATGACTGTGATGCTCTGCATAGACAAATTCATCAAAAATATTCATTCAGGCTATCGAATAGAATGACCAAGCAGTAATATAAATATAACTAGTTTCAACAAAGAAAATTAACGGTCTTTAGTTATAGTGAACTGATGAAGTACTTTCAAATTTGATTTTTGATAGTATAGGCGAATGTTGCATGTGAAAGATCAAAAACGGTGAGAATACCAAAGTCGGCATCCGATATGACCAGACAAGAGTCTCCCGTACTTTTTTGACATTTTCATTTCCTTCCGGATTTCCAGTGTAGCTAAATAAACAGGGCCTGGTGGATTTACGTAATTAGTCGTATTAATTGTACCTGCAACATAGTAGAAAAAGCAATCTTTTATTCATTTGATGATTAAAACATTGCCCTCTATTTTACCATTATAACAAATTCGATCGTACCAATGAACAAAACCATTGAAATAAATATCGACATTATAATCAATTAAAATTTTTTCGAAAGCTGCGCAGCATGCTGGACAGTTGATAATGCCGAGTACCGCTTCTCTTGCTTCTGATCCTCTCCAAGATCGATGACATTGAACAATAACTCATGGAGTAACAGTTCGATTGACTTGAGTTGTATTATCAAGAAGATTATCAGAAGGATTACCGGGAAAGCCCGATTCACATGATAATGCGATAATGTGAACAAAAGCATAATTAAATGAATGTCATGCATTTAAATAGTCACCAGATTGTTTACTATGCAAGAGTACGGGACTATCATCTGCAAAACAAATATCTCCGTGGTGTCAGAAGAAATCGATCTCTGGTAATTTTATTTGTAAAGCATTGAGTGTGCGCTCGAAAAGACACGGACTACTAGTCGTAGTTAGGATTAAACCATTTAAACCCATGTCACCGTAAGCAGTAATCCCCACCAGTCAGCTTCGGTCACCGATTCTTCGAAGCAATTTGATAATAGTAGACAGTTGATGGACACATATTTTGAAGTTCAACACGATAAAATCAAAATGTTCCGAATGCAAAATTCATTCTATAAGAGCTAGATTTGCCATGCACTGTCGTTGATGTGAGTTGTTTTGATGATGCATCATGGATAATAGCGAGGTTGATAAATTCCAATGAGCAAACGCGTAAACGCCAGCCAACATTTACACCCATATCACCAGCTGTGGCCAAACGAATTTGATCTGCTTTGGGAATAAGACAGCATTTGTGCTGATTGATTGTTGTCGAGATTAAGAAGAACAGAAGAACAACAAATATGCATTTATTCATTGTGCAATGTAACAGTGACTGAAAAATTCAGCTTTTATAAATATCATGTTGAAAGTATTTATGACGCGCGAAGATATTAGGATAAAAGAATCCACCAAACACCATATATAGTGTTCACTAATTGTTAATGTAGATTACTCATTTTATGGGTGACCATCTGATCAAGGATAGGGTGCAAGTGGCAAAACGATTAGGAGTGGAACATTTTCGTTTATTTAAAATTAACGTAAACGAATTCCGTTAATTAAGTCGAATTGAATTAAATGGTTCACCACGATTCTGGAGCACAGTTAGGTATGATATGGTTCAGAATTTTACGATTATTTCTGACGTGTTCAATGGAAAAAGTAGCTGACTGTCAATTTACTTGTTTAGCTATAGTCCAATATCAAGCGGTTGTTACGCGACGAAAATATTTACCTGATATTTCCAAAATAGATGTAAGCATAGTTATCGGATTCTACCAGAACGACTATATCCAGCATTTGATCTTTATTAATATTCGCTATGGGAATACCTTTTATAGAGTAGGTCAGACCTATTGATTGCATATTTGTCGTTCGAAATGTGCCATTGCCGTAGTCAGGTGAAGCAACAAGTTCATATGAACTCCCGTCGTTCTTACAGAATATGATTAGATCGTATTGGCTATCGTTATCGAAGTCAGCAACATGAATGAGCTTGACCGACGAACGGACCTTCAAAGAGATTTTGCAAATTGCTACAAACGTACTGTGGCCATTTTCAAGCAAGATATCAACCGTTTACGTATAATCACAGTACCTGATCAAATCTATTCGACGATCATCATTGTAGAACTGAAAACACTTTTCGCATGTTATCGTGTATGGAAAGACGTTTTATAGGCAACTTCGTAAAGGCAAGTCAGACTCTACCGATTACTATATGACTTAATTTGAACGAAGAAAGAGATGTATGAAAAGAATTCAAAATACGAAAAAAGTCGGTGTTAGCCATTTTTCAGATCTGTTTTTTTCTGTAAATTGTTCGGTGTACTTTAACTTTCTTCAAGTAAATCTTTGTTCGTAATATTTTTAATTTATATATAGGTTAATGATACCTAAGTTCCTATACGGTAAAATTCAAAATCCGTTGACACCCATGTTTTGGCAACGTTCATTTATATTCACGGCCGTGACAAAGTCAACGCCTTGATTCAGTGCTATTGCTTGATAGCGCAATGGGCTCGGTAAAAGATTTAGTGTTGAGTTATAGGGCTATCAGTTGGTGAAACCCTTTCTTATTACTTTAATGAATGACTTTGCTGGTTCACTGTTCACCGTGGTTTCCTCTCGTCACAAAAGAATATTTCTTTTTGAGGAAAACAGAAATGCACTGCAACTCTCAACAGACACCAGTTGATCGATCTAGGCTGTTTCTCGTTTCGTACAAAACAACAGTCGGTCATCATGAAGAAATTGTAATTACAAGGCTGTTTAAATATATTTATTTATTTAATCATTAGAAAGCACGAGAAAACTTGAGAAGATAAGAGAATGCATGCTGTCCATCTCAATTTCCTTGAACTACGCTAAGCAATTGTTGGGCAGCATTGTATAGTTGAGTGTTAGAGCCGAGATATTGCTGAACTAAAGCCAACAATTGGCTTGCAGCTGCGCTCGCACCAACTTGACCAGTGACAACGCTTTGAGCGAGTTGAGACACCTGTTGACCGAGTGATTGTAATTGAGCTTGTGAAAGAGTGTTAGCAACTTGTTGACCGAGACCTTGGAGTTGGCTGAGTACATTCTAAAACGAAAAAGTTTAGCTTTCAACAATAGCGAGGGGCCGATATTACTCCATATTGGTTAAGAAGACCTTGAACGCCATTAAATGGAAAACCTTTAACATTGGCTGGACGCGTTAGACCGGCGCTACCGTTAAGCAGCTGTTGAACGAAGTCCGATACTTGACTGAGAGCTGTGTTCACATCGACTTGCCCGCTGAGAACACTTTGAGCAAGCTGAACAGCTTGTTGAACAATTGATTGTAACTGAGCAGGTGAGACATTGCCGGCAACCTGTTGAACGAGTGCTTGCAACTGAGCTGGTGAAACACCGCTGACCAGACCTTGGAGTTGACTGAGTACGTTCTGAACAAAAAAGAATCTTATGAATGTTAACAGGGAAACGGTGATTTTACTCCGTATTGGTTAAGAAGACCTTGAACGCCATTAAATGGAAAACCTTTAACATTGGCTGGACGCGTTAGACCGGCGCTACCGTTAAGCAGTTGTTGAACGAAGTCCGATACTTGACTGAGAGCTGTGTTCACATCGACTTGCCCGCTGAGAACACTTTGAGCAAGTTGAGCAGCTTGTTGAACAATTGATTGTAACTGAGCAGGTGAGACATTGCCGGCAACCTGTTGAACGAGTGCTTGCAACTGAGCTGGTGAAACACCGCTGACCAAACCTTGGAGTTGGCTGAGTACGCTCTAAAAACAACAGGTAACGGTTTTAATTGCGGTAGTAAAGCAATGACGTTACTTGATATTGACCGAGGAAGTCTTGGATACCGTTGAGCTGATTAGGAAGATTCTATATATAATAAGAAAGAAAAGATGAACGAGAGTTTTTTGCGCAAAATGTTTTTACAATTTGAGTAACAAGTTGATTGAACAACGGTTTGCCTTGTACGAAAGCAATTGCAGCAAAAACAAGAGCGAATCCAATTGAAAGACGCATATTGGGTAATACTTCAGCAGTAAATTGACTGAAGTATCGTTAGATCTCACGTCAGCTTTTATAGGGTTCTTGAGCAAGAAATGGATAGTCAGAGTAATCCGTGCATCTGGTGACATGTAATCACTATCACGTGCTGGTTTTTTGTTAAGTACGCACTGGCGTTCGCTGGAATGATAGGATATCGAACGGACGTACCATACATGAGCAGAATGAGAACTTGATCTGAGAGGAATCAATTGAAAATGATTTTTTGTGGGTGAATAGAAGAACGTACGAAATGCAAATTAATCCAAGGTTAAATCTGTTTTTACGTCAGTATTTACGGATTGGTCGTTAAGGAATTGATTGTTAAAAATAATATGGAATACGATATTGTATCGCTTTCTTGACATCACTTAGAATAGCATACGCTCTCTTCATGATCAGAGGTCACCGTACGTAGCATATTTTTTGTATTCTCGTACAGACTGTGGTAATATCGGAGACAATAACATTCTATTCGATTTTTCACAATCCTTTTTCAATCACATTTGTCTTCATCTCGCACATTGGCACTTTTCGTTTTTTCTTCTCTATCTGACTAGCTGCATATATAGTACATAATGCATGAAACTCTTTAGAGAATCTTTTCATATACGTTGTATATCAATTATATGTTTTGAGAGAAGTTTTCTGAGCTGTATTATATCGTACATAGTAATGTTTTGCCATCGAAACACGAATGAGGGAATCGTTGAATTACTCCTGTCCAACATTTATCGACGGAACAATTATGCACTATAGATTTTTGTTATAATACTCACAGATAATTAGAAGAGAACGTGCTTCTTTAGTAAATTCACTAGGATAGTTTCCTTTGGCCATAAATGTTTGAAGAGTTACTCAATATAATGTGATTTGTTCAGTTAGAATTTCACTTCGTACAAATGCTTCAATAAGGTGCAGTTTTCGTGATTGCTACAAATACCATTACCGTATAAGGGAACTTATAGTATTATTATAAAACGCTAAATACAATACGGTACATCAGAGCTCCAGTACAATCTGGATTTGTTAAGTTCGCATTATATTTGTACTGATGTTTGCCAACTACTGATACGTCCCTCGGCGTCTTTCTAAGTGAAAAATACCATTCTTGATTAGAAGAAATAAAGATAAGCGTAATACCATTCGAGCGAACATCTCTTCGATGTGAAATAATTACAATGACAAAAAGTATTTTTATAGCAAGTACTACTGAATATGTTTTGTCGTTTTAAGCCTTTTGTAATTTGGTTTGTTACGTGCCCTATTCTCTCATCTACTGATCCTGATTGAAATTTAATTGCGTTTTTTATTTCCAACGGCGGTACCCATGCCAATAAATAATGAAAATCTTTGCAAAATTCTATGGCTATTTATTACTGCGTTAGAAATAATAATTTCTAGTTAAGAAATCCTGTAAAGTATTGAATCCAGGAATGGCGTTGGATTCCGTTAACAATTACCACAAATTTGCAATAGCATTTTTATCGAAAATGCATATCGCTTTAGGGTTAAGTTGAAAGTATTTATGACTTTATTTGGTACGTGGAATGTCTCGTAAGGAAAACTAGCAAAGTGCGAAAGCGTGTTTCTCCTTCTTAATTAATTTACACTCATCACCTTCAAGATGTCTATGACCAGGATTCTAATACATTCGATAGAGTTTGCATAAAAAGAGTGAGAATGGAGATTTTTTACCTTGAAGTTGTAGCGTTTTCAAGTCTTATTTCTTCGATGCAATAACGACAATTCTTGGACGCGTCTGATGGAAAATCGCGAGTCATGTGAAGACTGGTTCCACAATGCGATTCAGGCTGTTTGCGATTCAGATGAGTAACAAAGTAAACGTTGTCTTGTGCGGAGGTTTTTGGTCTAGAAAATTGAGTAACTTACCTTTCTTTATGTAACACATGCTCTACTACTCTGTGGATGTGTATAGCAGTGCAATTGTTCTCTTGTTCCTCACACTCAATGATTGACTCTTTTACAAGACGATGCAGTATAGAATTCTTTACCAACTAGGAGAATGCGTGTGGTGAAAACTGGTAAAGATAAGACACGTGATGTTCTTTTATTATTCGGAGATTCGTAAATGCAATTAAATTGAATATAATTACTTTGAATAAGAATTATTTCGTTGACTTTGCATTGGTTAGAGAGAAAGAGGTGAATAGATGTCTATCCCAAACGATCGATCACTGAGAGATAATATTAAACACATATGTAATGTTGGTTATATACACCCTCGTGCTTGCATGCACGAAATCTGGCAAGAACTGAGACAAACATCAACGACTGGTCGACTCAGTCTGAATCCAGTTGAATTGAGCTTTGCGGAGGTAGAATCTGATGAAACTGACCAGTCGTGTGACAAAGGAATCGGTATACGTTCATTAGGCCCTAAAGTTCCTATTCTCATCCCGACATGGTAGTTCTCGCGATTAAGCCAGTAGAATCTGATTAAGGTTAGGATTAATTTTAGAACAACAAAAGATTTCATTTCAATCGGCGCGTTTCGAAAATTTTCATTTTCATCATCAAAACAGAAGCAAGAGGAATTATATTGAAATGAACATAAAGCAAATTCAAATACTAAATATAATTCGCCCACACATCGTGAAGATACACCTTTTTATTTGTTCAACTGTTTGTTTTACTGCTATATGTTCATCTCAATATAACTCCTCTTGTTTTTGTCCTGATGATGAAAATGAAAACTTTCGAAAACGCGTCGATTGAAATGAAATGTTTTGTTGTTTCAAAGTTGATCATCTTGACATCCTTCACGAAACATGGAGAGTACCCAAATCAATCCAGAAAGTGTTCTATATGTTTCATTTTTCTTTCGAATAACATTACTATGACAAATTGTCCTTCTACAATTAACGTGGTTGCTGAAAAAGAACAGAGAATAGATAGAATGCGTTGTTCAGTTCATTAAAATTTCCTTTTCATATTACTTTCAACTGTCGAATCTAGAAAGCAAAATAAAATCTAACGACTTTAGTCCACACGCGAACACAATTCTCTTGCTGATCAGGCTCCTCATACAAGAAACATGATAACGACTTTTCTTCGTTGACTCATCAGAAATAATTCATTTGGAAAACTTCAATCTATGAAAAGTGTTCCTATAAAAAGAACCTATCTATTTCTAATATCACTATGCTACACATTTCCTGTTGTTTATTCAGCATTTCAAGGTACAGATCAAGCTATCGCCCTGAAAACCCATCTGAATCAGCGAGAAGACCAGTATCAGTACGTGAAGCAAAAGTACAAGTACTTTTCCTTTAGTGAGTGTATTGCGTCCTGGCGATTTTTAGGTAAAAAGTAGGAAAGTGCCAAGTATTTTACTCAGTAACTGATCTTTGAAGAACAGAACTAATACATCTTGTGTAAGTACATGCAAATAAGTGTTAATAAGAGATAACAGTGAACAAGAACTCTTTATTACCTTTTAATTCTAAATGATAAGAAGGAACAGAAAGACAAGAAAATGACAACAGACATACATCAAAATGAGATGAGACAATCGAGGCTAGGTTATTTAGTTGTCCGGATATTTCTAGCAGTATAAACTATATTTAATGCATGGTCACGATGTCGGATTAGTTTATGTTTCCATAAATGTTGTACGTGAGGAGATATGAATGCTAAAGTGATTATAACACATATAATTGATGAAATAAAAAGTAACCATTGAATTTGTGTTGACCACCATGGAACATAACCTTGAAAAACATATACTAAGAAAATGACTAATGAAGGAACAATAAATACCATCAATAATCCAAGAAGAATACAAATTCTAAATAATACGATTAAATCACGACGAGCAGTTATTTGTTGAACATGTGTCATTATTTGGTTTAAACTGTTATTAGCTTTTCGCATTTTTCTAACTGTATAAATATAACACCCGATAGTAATATACATTGGAAATCCATAAACCAACGCTCCATTCACGATTACACTACGCAGATCTGTAAAATCAAGTTGACATTGATAATCATTGATGCGATATTTAAATTCACCAAAAACAAACGCTGGAATGATAGTCAAAAAACAAAAACTCCATTGACAAATTATTAATATTAAGTAAAATTTAAATGAAAGAATTAGCTGTCTTCTATAGAAAACTACTCGACATAAACGATAAATTGCTTGAAGAGCGTTCGAATAAAACACTGTACTTATTGAAACCAAAAGACAGTGTTACAGCGTGTTACCTAGATAACGATATCATATAGATATCACTCGAAGATATCATGTCTTTGTTCTAGGACCTCGATCCACCCTTTGTTTTCTCACATATAAAAGGACGCGTGTATTTTTGAAATAAATAGAGATACATACGCGTGCACACCAGAAGAACACGTCTCTCACTCTAACATGGCGACCCTGGCTATCTTCTTCGTCCAAATATCACACTGAAGAAGAATCGAACCACTTTTACTACGTTGCGCCAAAAAACCTTATACCAGAGCCACTCATAGTGACTCGAACAAACAAGCAAATCTCCTACTTCAATCCAAGATAAAAGAAAACACAAACTACACGATATATAACCAATAACAACGGCTACCGGTACCCGACACCAAGTGAAAGAAAAAGGAGACATCCTTTTGCCACACACAATCATTACGTATCCAGAGAGTTACACAATACAAAACGAACCAAACACAGATTTGAACACACTATTGTCTCGTGAGGAAGAAGAAGAGCAAATAAATCATACGACAGCAACAACAGTTCGTATCACATCAATACAAGCGTCGACACAAACCAGAATCAGCAATAACGTAAACAATCACCAAATGGTTGATCAAACATTACTTGCCAGAGCTCGAAAAGCTCGTTACGATGATTTACCAAATTTCTCGGGACATCCATCAGAAGACGCTGAACGATTTTTAAAGAGCATAAAAAATATCACAAAAGCCAACAACGATCCGGCGGACCCGATGTTTCTCGAAATTGTTCGCGGCAAATTAACACAAAATGCCGGCTTATGGTTCGACGACAACGAATCTCAGTTTAACAGATGGTCAGATTTCGAAACGACATTTCGAAATCGTTATTTTTCAACGACGAACGTAAACACTAAATTCGATAAATTATCACAACGAAAACAACAACCCGACGAATCAGTAACTGCGTATTACGATGATATCATCACGTTATGCCGAGAAGTTGATCCAAACATGACAGATGCCATTATCATCCAACATTTAATGAAAGGCATCAATCCGGAATTCCGAAAGGAACTTACGCGTCGACAAACTGCAATAGCGACATTGCCCGAATTTCTTCGAATAGCAAAGCTTGAACAAGATCTTCACGATGTATTTACACAGTCACAAGAAGTAATGACACAGCCCGAAGCCTATCCGATGTACCACCTTGGTTCTGCAAATAATCGGAACATACCACGAAAGATCCCGGGATACGGACAACAACTTCGTAACTTATGGAGTCAAAATTCTCGTTCAACACCTATGAAGAACTCCGATCAAAATCGAAACTCGTATTCGAAGATTCCACAAATAACATCAATACGTAAACAAACATCCAATTCTACGACCGAAACAGGACTCGATCAGAATAATCAAACACCACATCAATCATGTAAAGTCTGTGGAAAACAAAATCATCGTTCAATTGACTGTTTTAAAAAACGCCAATCCGGCTGTTTCAATTGCGGTCAAGGACATCCAGTCCGCAATTGCCCAGATCCACCGCATTTTCAATAACTGGGACACACGATGGCGGTGTACCCAGTCAAATTCAAAAGCCATCACCGTCGACAAGCCCGATTTATATTAAAATTCAAGTCAACGATCACCCTACAGAAGCTATTGTCGACACCGGCTCCGCCATCACAATCATTCATCAAGATCTTCTGAAAAAAAATTCCTCACAAAAATTTCACTCACAAACCTAGAGAATGTCGAACAGCCAATTCAACCCCCTTACACATTCTCGGCCATATCGAATTAGAAATCAAATTACGAAACGTGAAGACATACATCACAGCCAACGTAGCAACCAATTTAATTACAAAACTTCTCCTTGGAAACGACTGGATAAATCTAAACCATGTTCACCTGTTTGGCGATCGACAATATCTCACAATACCCGACCAAAATGGCCAAGCAATCCGAATTTCATATGAAGAACACATGAATATAAACTATCCAGCTCTGTTAACAAACGAAGTAACCCTCGAACCATATTCACAAACATTAGTAGAAGTCCAGACTCAGCTAACGAACGCAACCAACGTTATCTTCGAGCCAAACGATCAATACAATGTCCAACTCATATTTATGCCATGCACACTTCTGGATATTTCAAACAATACAGCAAAAATTCTAATAACGAACGCCCAAAACAACCAACGAACTTTATCAAAGCACACAAAAGTCGGAACATTTCTTCGAGAACCCGAACTGATCGCATGTCTTACATCAATACAACCAGAAAGAAACGAACGACGAGAACCTCACACTACCAAAATCAAGTCCACTATGTCAAGCAACAATTTACAATGCGACGAATGCAAAGAACAATTCTTATCAGGGAACGATCTTCAAAAACATCTTCGAGCAAAATGTTATTCCGAACAGATTCGGCAACGAATCGTAGAATTTGTTAAACACATCGAAGACACAAATCAACGACGTAAACTAGAAGACATCCTATGGCGTAATAAAATTCTTTTCGATCCAACACCATCAATAATCAATATTCCTCCTCAATCGGCCATTAAAACAATTGACCATCCTCCCACCTATTCAAAACAATACCTCACTTCAGAAAACGATCAACTCATAAAACAGGAAGAAACAAGAAAACTTCTCCAACGAGGTCAAATAGAAGAATCAACGTCACCATGGTCATCTCCAGTAGTCTTGGTTAAGAAGAAGGACAAAACAGTTCGATTCTGCATCGATTATCGCCGTCTCAACACCATTACAGTCAAGGACGCATTCCCACTACCACGAATCGACGAAATTTTTGACCAATTAACGCATGCAGTTTATTTCTCCAAATTCGACTTCAAATCTGGATATTTTCAGGTCCCTCTTGCAAAGGAGGACCGTCCAAAAACGGCTTTTTCTACAAGAGACAACCACTTCCAGTTTACTGTCCTTCCGCAAGGCATCACCAACGGACCCGCAACATTTCAACGAATTATTAATCACGTATTGGGACCAACACGGTGGCAATACGCCTTAGCATATATCGACGACGTAATTATCTACTCAAAAACATTCAGCGACCATTTAACACACCTGAATGAAATCTGTCAATTACTGAAAGATGCCAGATTTCGCTTAAATCCAGAGAAATGCGAAATCGCCCAACGACAAATTGAATATCTCGGTCATCAGGTCGGTGATGGAAACATTCGACCATGTTCAAAAAACATTAATGGACTACTGAACACACGACTACCAGAAACGGCTGATGAAGCATGCAAATTTGTGAAAGCAGCTGAATACTATCGCAAGTTTATTCCAAATTTTTCCGTTATCGCTGAGCCTCTGCGAAAATTTGTCCCAACTACACGAACGCAAGCAAAGAAAGGCCAGAAAACTTCAATCGTACTGAACGAATCAGAACAACAAGCATTTAACCAACTAAAACAAATATTAACCAACGACCTTGTTCTTCGAATACCAGATAATCAACGACCATTCAAAGTACAAACAGATGCTTCAGATGAAGGAATCGGTGCTGTATTATTACAGATCTACCCCGAGGGAGATCGTCCAGTGGCATATCTATCGAAGAAATTCACACCTGCACAACGAAAATGGAGTCCAATGGAACAAGAATGTTATGCTTTCATTTGCGCATTACAGAAATGGCACAACTATGTGAGTGGTGTTAAATTTGTATGGGAAACCGACCACAAATCATTGACACAATTAAATAAAAAAGCACAACTAAACAAACGTTGTGAAAGATGGCGATTGAAAATTCTAGAATTCGACTTTAAGGTGAAATACATTCCAGGGCCAACCAACGTTATGCCAGACTACTTATCGCGATCTCCAGTGGAAGAAGCAGAAGAAGAACCAGATGAGATAGTACCAACATCAACAATAGGAACGCAAACGGACGATAATCAAGTCTGCAATGAACACGTATTTATAGCAGCAGTCCAAACACGATCGATGAAACGATCCGAAGGATCTACCAACAAAAATCATCAAGAAAACGATGTCAAAACAACAGATTCTCATCCGCATAAATTGGAAGAGAATCGTATAATCGCATTCACCATCGACCAACTGAAAGAAGACCAACAGAAAGATGAAACCGTCATCAAAATTTGCAAGAATATTAACAATCAGAACGATTACACTATCATTGACGATATTTTAATGTATCGATCTGATCCACCAGTTCCTTATGTACCGGAAGGAGACATTCGAATCAGTATCATGAAAATATATCATGACTCACCAGCAAATGGAGCCCACTTCGGCAGAGACAAAACCCTGCACAAGATTAAACAACGTTACTTTTGGCCATCAATGACGAAAGACATTACAAACCACGTAAAAAGCTGTTTACTCTGTGCCAAATTTAATCCTCGTCGTCGAAAACCACCGGGTGCATTACAACCACTTCAACCACCAAACGGCGTTTGGCAACTGCTATCGATAGACTTCCACGGACCACTAGCACCCATATCACAACGTGGTAATCGTTACATCATTTGTGCCACCGATGTACTATCAAAATTTACCGTGACTAAGGCTGTACGCGATTGTTCTGCCCAAACAGCAGCACGATTCATCAAAGAAGATATAATCTGCAAGTTCGGTACTCCACAATGCATACTAACGGATAACGGCACTCACTTTACAGCTTCGTTAACCACCGAACTGTTGAAACAACTCGGCATTACTCATCTTTATGCGACCCCATATCATCACCAAACGAATGGTCAAGTGGAAAGATATAATTCCACCATGGATGCAAAGATCGCAATTCTTTCAAACGAACGAAAAACGAACTGGGATGATCAACTGCCATTCATAACATTCAATTATAACTCAACGATTCATGCCAGTACCAATCAAGTACCCTTCGAAACAATGTATGGACGACGACCCGTCCTCCCCTTCGATCAACAAAGTGACAACGTCTCACTGACATATGATAGTATGCATACAAAACAACTCGAAAACTACCTTTCAACAATGGCAGAATTAGCAAAAGAAAACATCAACAATAATCAGCAACGATACAAACAACAATACGATTACAATCGAACAAACCCAACGTACAATACTGGAGAACTCGTCCTAATTAAAACATTAAACCATCACTCAAAATTTGACCCAAAATTCGAAGGACCCTTCAGGATTACCCGCAAATTAGGACCAAAGACATTTATTGTCCAACATACCAAAAAGCTAACCCTTACCAGGCAAGTAACAGTCGATGTTATGTTGCCAATCTTCGAACGAAATTATTAAACTCCACAGCAACACAATTTATGGGTGATCCGAATAACGACGGAGAATAGATGAACGGGAAACGATTGACAGCAAACCAAATAGCGAAGAAATGCAATCTTGGATCATGATCAATCATCTCAATCGACCAAACAACGAGCGAAGAATTACTTCGTACGCTAATATCGATCTTCCAGATTTTCATGTGCGCAGTGAGAATCGTACAAGAACGACCCCTATCAACAATTGGTCGACAAAATTCCTCCGTGGTCACACACTATAACAGACCAATAGTTATAATGCCCAAAAGAATAATATCCGGAAACCCGTAAAACGAATTAAATCAAATAAAATAAAAAAATCGAACTAGAATAAAATCAGTCGAAACAACGAGATTCTTACACCAAGAATCGACATTTCAAAAGAAACTTTCTCTTTTTTCTAGAAATGTTATCACAACGAGAACTACGAAAAGTCCGACAAGCACTTACGGATAATCCATCCAAAAATGCTCAACGAAAATTAAAAAACAAATTGATCGAACATCAGTACGCGTCGAAATATCCACCATTTTCGCCACTAGAACATCATCGTCAATTTCTCAACAAGAAGACCCACGAACAGAATCTTCGTGAAACGATTGACGCTGCAAAAAAGTCGGAAATCATCCTCCTCGACACTGAGTCAGTTACGGTATATCGTCAACCAAATCGTCCAGGACTGATCCAGCTTCAATTGCTCCCAAATAATGCAACACCGATTGTAGTCATTGTCGAAGTTCACCATCTTCCACCTACCAATTCCAACGAATTCAAGCTGATGCAAGAATTCTTCCGAATCGTTTTAGATTCAGATAAAACGATTTATACATGGGGAACAATTAACGAGCTAACACCATTCAGTCAATTTGGTTTATTTGATGCCCAACAAATCCAATCGCCCGGAAACGAAGATTTACAGAAGTTTTTCAAGAACTATTGGCAAGCATGTCACAAACATATGACTTTGGAAGCTTGCGAATGTGAAAATTGCCTCGACAAGGAACCCAATCAACCATGGAAATTATTGGACGCCGTAGCATACCAACTACACGAATGGCTGGATAAAAGACACACTTGTTCACCCTTCCACATCGGATTAGACCCACAACTCCAACCTGTAACCATGGAACAACTGGAATATCGAACAATCCTGGCGAACTACGCCGCGAATGACGTTTTATCGATGGAGAAACTTATGATTTCCATGCAAGAACGACCACCAACGACAATTTCCTCTACCATCAGCCCAGGAAGTGAAAATGCAATTCAGAATGGAGTTTCACCAGAAATGATTAACGACTCCACAATCGTTTTATTACTCCATTCATCTTCATCAACACCGGAAACAAAACTTGAACCCACCCCGAAGGAACAAGTCAATCTACACGAACAGCCCGATCATCGAACAAAACGAGAAACCGAACATCAACATGAGAAAAAACAGAATACAAATAATCAACATCAAACCAGTCACTACAACACGCGGGAAGAAACGAATAACCATCAAGAAAAGGAAGAAAGGTCCGTCGGCCGATATGAACGTGACCAGTCCGAACAAAAAAGAAAAAATTATAATCAAAACCGAGCCCAATATCCAACAGGTGGATTTTATCATTATCGTTCAAACCCACGAGATCGAATTCAACAACAAGAATACGATACCGATGCCGAACGAAAATGGAAAAACCATATAAGCACAATTAAACAACGACAACGTCACTTTCGACATGAAATAATTCGCCGGGGTATCGATCCCCGATTTTCAATCACAATAGTGAAAGAAATACTTCGACGATATGAAGTCCCATACACGGCCGTTCACATCTCAAAATCCAAATGGACCCGACAAACATCGCTTTATATTGGAATTCGTAATCCGTCCAATCTTCGAGAGTATGAAAAACGAACGAGATATTTATTTACAACGGATTATTACAACGAATTCCGCGCACGTAACCGGTTCAAACGATAATCAGCATACGTCAAATCCACGGTCAAGGATCATTCAAGATCCTGCCATGTTTCATCAAAACGAAAAAAAACTGAAAGTGTGCTCTCTCTATCTTTGCTCTAGTCTTACTTCTCATCTTTTGTTAACACCTATATTTGTTATTTCTTATTCTACTTGATCTAACTATCATGTTTTGTTGTCTCACTATTTGAACCTCTAGTGTTATCCGATCATAAAAATTGTTTGGTGTGTCACAATTTTTCCTCGAATATGGGAGTGTTACAGCGTGTTACCTAGATAACGATATCATATAGATATCACTCGAAGATATCATGTCTTTGTTCTAGGACCTCGATCCACCCTTTGTTTTCTCACATATAAAAGGACGCGTGTATTTTTGAAATAAATAGAGATACATACGCGTGCACACCAGAAGAACACGTCTCTCATTCTAACAGACAGTAACCGCGAAATTTACAAGAAACTCCATCGTCTAAAGAAACTAACGAATAAATATGCCCTCGTATAACATATGCGTATTGTATTAACAATAGAATAGAAAAAGTAAACATAGCTAAATACATATTTGCTGTAAGGAGAAGTGGTACTCGATTAGGTGAACGATTTTGTTTAACTAAGTGGGGAAGAATAAAACCAAATACTCCGAATGATAGACACATAGTTAATGAGGATATTGCAATTATTGAACTATCCATTATAATATTTGCTAAGTGATGACTTGATAAATTCATTGGTACAAGAGCATGAAAAGTAGTTAAAATATGTAATATACTATATTATATATAAAACTGCTATTCTGAAAATATAAAATAAGTAGCTTTTTAGCTTAACATAAGACGGATAGAGCTGTAAAATGTTTTTAAAAAAGCTTCAATCAAGTATTGTTATTCAGTGAAACAGATAGCGTATGTCCCTTTGGTACTGTAGGTGTCCACAGAAAAAAAAACTATGACTAGATTCTCTTGTTAACCACGAAATTTCGATAAATACATCATCTATTCTACACAAGTGGCGCTCGTCCAGTGCATTAGCTGACTCTTTTCTGAAAGAATTGGAAACGTAGTAGATAAAAACTCTCACTTAAATCTGAATATAATCGGCTTCGATTTGAAGTCACTCTTACGCACATTCTTTTCTTTTAATCCTTCTTTTCTACTTTATTTATTAAGCAAAACGAACACAGTTTCTAAACATTTATTCATCGACTCTCTTCCGGCTATTCAAAATCAAAAATCACTTTCGAAACGAATCAGTCCATTTTCTTCTACTTCGTCTTAAAAAATCATCACCTTTATGTTACTGTGTGACTCTCGAAAATAACACTTGACAAACGAACCATTATTTCCAGTGGCTGGCATCAGATGATGTTTGTGTAAGATAGCTGTTTATATAATTGTGATGTCGCTCATATGCTGCTGACTACGGAGATCCAACAATTGCGGGTCAGTCAGCTATTCTATTTTGCTCTACATATTGCTGCTTCATACACTATTGCCTGAAAAGCTTCGTTGAAAAAAAAATCATTCTTTGCCTTAAAAACAAACTCCAGATTCGTGAACCTCAGTCCCGATTACCTTTCATCAATCCTTTTCTACTGACCAGGGTTAAATTTATATTGGTTCACAAAATGCTGTGATTTGATTGCCTTGGACAGAAAAAGCTTTTAACGAGTATCAATGTGGCTATAATCCTTGCTTTCTCCTTACTACTTTCATCAGCCATTTAACAGAAAATTTCATGACTTGTTTAACTGCTTTTAATATTATTTTGTTTGACAAACTAGTCAGGGATTTTCAATAACTTAATGATAATAAATCTGATAGTCTTAGTGCGACGATAAAGAAACGCTAATTCTATACGATATCAATACAGTAATAACGGATGTCCCAGAATAAATATTCTTCTCGGTATTTTGCTAATTTTTTTCGAAAAGATTTAAAGCCATCAGCTTTAAAATGTGCGGGATTCCTTGGCTGATTATTTTGCTTCTGTGAGCTAAAAAGACGTAGAACCCCAATGTACTTCAATTTTTCTGTGTTTTCGAATGTATTATTTCTGACAAAGCTCACTGAAAGATTTCAGAATAGAGTTTTCATTCTTCATAAGTCGGTCAGTGCGAAAAACAGATTGAAATTATCGATTTTTTTCCTTCTATGTCTGAGGTAACTCATTAAAACCATTTTCTACTACCTTGTTGTTATAAAAATGGCAGGAAACATTTTACTTCGGCTTCAGATTCAATCTCAACATGTAATTAATTCACTTTTTAATAGCAAGATTAAAAAATCCAAGAAGCTTGACCCACAGGCCTTAAAACTCTAACACCATATGGAAACAAAATGAACTTTTCCAAGCCCGTTGAAAAATTTGGTGCTTAAAATTTATTGTATCCCATAGACTCAAGTTCGATCCAAAATTCGATTATTCTGCAACGCTATTATCTGTTTGTTGAAGATGGTTGTTTTGTACTAACGTAAGAGCAATTCCAATTTCATGGTAGAGCTCATATCAAGATCGGCTTCAAGAAAAAGCTTGCGCATTTCACTGCAAAAACCACGAATATCTTGCTGCGGAGATTGAGTATAGGAATGAGTTTTGTGCATGGCAAGACGTGCACGATTAGGAGAATCAAATGTACTTTTAAAACGCTCAATAAATTCCGACCAAGAATGATTCAATTTAGATTTGTTATCATAGAACCAATCGAGAGCACCCTTGTCAAGAAGTTGCGAGATAAAATCAAACCGTTTGGCATCCGGTACACCCGCAGTTTGAAATTTATTATTAATATTTTTCAGCCACTTAATGACATCCTGTCGATTCGCACCAGTGAATTTTGGGGTATTCCGTTGGAGATCCTCGATGATGGTTTTGCGAATATCATTCTGAGTCAAATCATCAATCGATTAATTAAAAGAAAATGTTGTTTGAGACGTACATAGGTGCAGCAGCAGCGGACTTGGAGGCAAGTTGAGTAGAAGCTAATGCTGATGGAATATCGTTGAGAGTCAACGATCCCACAGAATCAAGCGTTGACACGCCACGAAGAGAATCAAGTAGATTATGTTTAAGTAAAGACAGTTTTCGAAGATCATAAAAATTGAAGATGAGATCTTCATGAGCTCTGTTAAACAGCAGAGTCGGAAGAAACTGTTTAAGCGATTTTTTGGCGACTAGTCACACTGTTAAAATAGTTGATTTGCGTAGATGTTAAATCAGTGTTATTACCGTTTTGTTGTCTGCCTGGGGCATTGGTGATTCGCCAACAAAGCACGATAGGTTTGTCACATATTTTTGTAATGTAATTTTACTAACTTGAAATAAATGCCATAGGTTTTTTATTTGTTTTTTTTCTTCCTTGTTCATTATCATTACCGAATGAGAATGGCATTGCCTTTTGACGATAGTTGCCACTTTGTATTTGAGCTGTTCGCATCATAATGATAGCTTCTTCACCTTTGAGGAAATGAATAAAAGACCATAATTTTGGATGCGCACCAAATCGATGTTGTAAACGGTTATTGTATCCTAAATGAGCGACAAACAATTTTTGTTTCCTCTCCGTTGTATTTGAACACTACGCACCTTCCATGCTATTGTTACATCGAAGATGAATAGGTCCCAAGTTCCAATATTTTACTGGTACACGATCAATCCATTGTTTACGAAAATAATCGCTGAATTCATTTAATAAATGGTGAGACACTGGTGGATTATCAATCAAATAATCAGTAGCAGCACGCACTACAGTGTCTTTCACTAATGGTAATGCCATGAATGATTTCAACCAAACCTTAGTTTCTTCATTTTGATCGNCTGAAGGAAAAGAAACTAGGCAACTCACGCTGTTAGTCTTTTCTTCCTGTTTTAAGAGTTCCGATTTCTGTTGATCCAGATTGAACAGTAAATGTATTTGGAGGGAAGCCAAGACTTTCAGTGATCTATATTTTCAGACATCAATAGTAGTTATATAAAAGACATGCATAAAAAAGAGATATGTCAGCTTACTTGTTTTCCAATATCTTCCAAATTGATTACTGCTTGACTTTGATAGAAAACTGTATCGCAACCGAATTCCGTTGTGATATATCGTGCACCTTATAAAAAATATCATGCAATTAGAAATAGTGATGGTATAAACCCTCTTACCATAATTATTACTTGCTACAGCAATATCCTCAACTTTTGCCTGTAAATAGACTGGTATGAGTGATGAAACGATTACTCCAGCTATGACAAATAGCCCTGTCAAAAGTAAACAGGTAGCCCAACATGGGGCCCATGTTGTTACTGATCTAAAATAATCAGGACAAAGGAAAACATGAGCTAAAAAGAAATCAACAACCTTGTATCCATACCCCCGTATTCCAGTCGGGTTGTTGTTCGAAGAATCGTTACTTCGATACACCATTATATCTAAAATGAACAAGAACGGTAGAAACAAGTTCTATTAGATCCGTCGAAGGAATAAGCGTTCAGATTTCTAATGTAGTATGTTGACCCTCTAGTTACGGTGTTTTCTAAGTGCATGTTGTGCATCTCGCTCTAAAACTGTGAGTGTGCTCTCTAAAAAAAACCGGGCGATACTGAACCGTAAAAGGTTTTAGCTAGCATCTAAAACCTTTTATGGTTCTAGATTTGGGTACCATCTTCAGAACCTTTTGGGTTCTAACAAAGAAATCTGAAACCTTTTCTAGTTCGGCACATTTGGCTAAAACCATTTTAGGTTCTAGATTTTTTTTGCTAAAACCAAAAAAGGTTCTGAAAATGGTACCGAAAAAAGGTTCAGTATGACCCGATTTTTTTTACAGAGTGGAGTTCCCTTAGTATAAGAAAATATTCAAAAGTATATCAAGATATTTTGATTCCACACTAACATTAGGATAAGAAGGACCAACAGCGGTCGTTCCTATAGTCTAGATTATATTTTAATTGACATAATATGCGAAGAAGTTCAACGCCCATAAATGGGTTATTCACAGCGAAGGGTAAAAATATGTTTTTGTGTTTATACTCGAATATAAACCAGAAAATGACATAAATGAAATATTCAACATATTCTCGTCGATGTTCATGGCTAACTAGAAACAGAGGGCGAGGGTGGAAAATATTGACGTAAGGCTAGCACAAACAAACGATTTGTTAGCTAAAAATTTTTTACTAAATAAGTCCGGTCCTTAGAAATTATATTATTCGACTGTGAATTTCATTCTGCATCGAATGGTCATGTTTCTACTCACGAGACAAACTTTGGAGAAACTTTATTTGGGTCATAAATAGACCTCTAGGAGGCAAACAAAGATATAGGTAAACATTCTCCCAAAGTTTGACCCGTTAGTAGAAACATCACCATTTGGTGCAGAATTAAATCCACAGTCGAATGATATAATTTCTAAGGACCGGACTTATTTAGTAAAAAAACTTTAGCTAAAAAATTGTTTGTTTGTGCTATTTCCTTCGTGCTAGCTTTGCATCGATGTGGAAGAAAATTTTATGATTGGAATTAATAGAGCTCATCGAGTTTTCCTTGAAACAAATGTGATCAGGGCTGGAATACGCTCGCGTACGAATCCGTTTAAGAAAAGGTCGAATACATGTCTAAGATATCTTACATTAAGAACTATGGAACTATTTAAAGTGACAGTTTCGAAAAATCATGCATATGAAATATTTTTTCCAACCGTAACCATAAAGAAAAATATTTTATTTTATATATAGTAAGTATGTATTCAATAGGGATGCACCAAATGCAATTCCAATCAAATCCAAACCTTAGATTTGATTGGAGTTGAGTGGAGTTGGATTTGGATTTGACTAGATTTGAATTTGAACAGATATGGATTTGGATTTGATCATCAAATCTTGTCAAAGCTTTAGACTTTCTATACATTCAATAAGTTGCAGTGTTGGAATCAGTAAGAGTGAATCAGACTGTCATGTGAATTTGACAATAGGTATTTCACCTTTTTTGAGACAAAAATCTGGAAAGACTTGTAAAAAATGGCAAATTTATTTCACTGTGATTCAGTGTTAGTTCGAGTAGAAGCACAGTTCAATAAGATCGAAATTTAATTCTGACTAAATGTGAGCCACATATCAGTCAAACCCAGGGCTGCCATCTGTTCAGGTATAGAATGGGGTACAAAAATTCTTAAATGGGGTACATGTGAGGTACATTTTTGTCCGCAATGGGGTACATCAAAAGGGTACACATTTTTTTCTAACTACCATCAAATCGAATTAGTGTCGAAAACGTTCTGTTGTCTAAAAGGATGTTTCCAATCCTTTTGTATGGTTTGAAAATAGTGGGCAAATTCAAATTCTATTTTATTTCGAAACAAGTGGTTCATAAATACATTTTTCATTAGATATATGTTTAAAAAAAATAAAAGTATTTACTTAAAGTAAATTCTCTCTGTTTGCATTAGCTGATACACGTTTTTTTACATAACTGTATTTCTGCTTACTTTTAGCAGATTTTATCAATTCTGGTTGAGATTGTGCAAAAGAATAAAAATCTTTGCATTTCATCTTACTATTTACTCGAATCTTTAATTCAGCAGCTACTGTTTCATTTGACATCGAGTTTCGACTTGGTGTCCATACATGCTTCATATGGCTGAAAACACCTTCAGCAAATGCATTAGAACAAGGAATCGAATAAACATAAGCAAGAACTTTCATCATTTCGCTGCATAACGATGTCGATTTAGATAGAAGATAGCACCATAGTTGATCAGGTCGAATTTGGTTTTCTTTTTCATGAATTTGAATTGTTGATTTATGAAAAAGTTCTTCATCGTCTGATTCATCATCTTGATCACCGGTTATGTTTCCAGCAGAATCACAAACACCATCACCAATATATTTTCGAATTTGTTCACATAATGGTTCACGATATGCAGTTACTTCTTTGAATAAAGATTGTAAAGTGTTCAATTCATCAAATAATTTGTCGTGATCAACATCTAACATGAGAAATGTAACACAGTCGTGAATCTGGTGAAATTTGATTTGATCAATGTCGCATATTCCTAGAAAATCGTAGCTGTTCTTCTCATATAATTATTAAAATAGAATATATACCAAAAACAGCAGTTAATTCAGCCAGTTCAGATTGTCCATCATAATATTTCTCGATATATTGAATCACACTAGATATATAATCAATAAACGATTGATTCAATTTTGTTCGATCCGAATCGGACAATGAATTCAATAGAACTTTCGTTTGATAACCAAAATAATTTTGTTTTAATCGATCATTAAGTTTACTAAGAAGACTAGTAATAATTCTACTCAAATCGGCAATAGAAATGTAATGCCGTTGCAATTCCAAGCTTTTTTTCTGTACATCAAATAAAACATTGTGCAGAAAATACATTGTACATTTCGCTGACGTAGAAGTAAAAAACATCGAAATTATAGGCGGACATGGAAAGTCATCTTCGTCACCTAAACCAAGAAAATAAGCACATAATGGCTCAAACACCTTGAGTAATCGTTCAATAGATGGATATAAACTGAGCCAACGAATATTGATGTGTTTTAATAGTAACTTAATAAAAGAAATATTGATTATTGTTAATGATATGATGTATGCTTTACCAAATGATCTTGACTGACAAAATCGAAATACTCTTTTAGATTTTCTACTCGTTTTGTTGATGAAGAAAAGTGACCGTAGAGCTTTGACAAAATCGATTCAACATCAATGACCAAGTGTACATGTGAAATTTTAACTGAATTGTTTAGAACATGTGAAAAACAATTTCCTAGAATTAGATACATTGTTATTAGAAGTATGTTTATTTTCTTCTATAGCAAGACACCTTTCTTTAGATGTGAAATATCACATTTCAACAAAGTAAAAACCGAATGATTACGTCCATAATTGACATTTGTGTTATCAGCACCAATAGATGTCATATTTTGAATATCAAGATTATTCATTTGCAATATTTCTCGAAGAGAAGCAGTAACATGATCAGCTGTTTCATTAATTAGTTCAATGACTTCAATTACTGATCGTTCAATACCGCGTTCAATGGTGAAATAATTAGCAAGAACTGGAAACATTTTCTTGTGACCTTTGTTTGATGCATCAAATGATAAAGAATAATAACCGACTTTGTTAATCTTTTCTGTAATTTGAGCGGATATAAATGGAGCTAAACAAAGCAAGAATATATAAAATAAGAGATTTTAATGAGAAATACTCGTCTAACAGTATTTAGCTTTCTTCTCTCGTTCTTTCATACACTTTTGTTTCAAAAGATAATTTTTACTTGCCTAATGCATTAACTGCAATATCACGAGCTTTAGTTCGTCCACACGTGAGGTTTTTTCCAATAGTTGAATCTTGAAACAACTTTTTCGAAACATCGGCAGTACATGCTTGACTTGAATAACTGTGTCCATGTCGTATTCCATGATAAACTAATGTAATTTCAGCAGCAATCAACTTGGTTAATTCACTCGAAGGAGGAATAAAATCGAACATTGAATGTGCTAAACAAAAACAATAAATCAACTTAATATGTTTTCTTTCGAATTCATTAATAAGCTAAACTACATTTGTGTTTAGCTTCTGCTTCTGCTAGACGTTTATGATTTGTTTGTTCGAGATGACGATCGATTAAGTACTTTCCACCATTAGCAATTGAAAAGTTCGATTTACACACAGAGCAATGTGCAAGTGATGAATCTGTTCGACATTCTTGTAGAAATGATACATATTTCGAAATTTTTATCCAATCTGTGTTGAATTTGCAATATCTTTTTGATTTAGACGAGGTATTCAATGAATTTTTTTCGATATTGGAAGACAATTTGGAGATAGGACTTGACGTTTCTTTTGATGTTACTGTTTTTTCGAAGTCAAGTGTTATAGAATCATTCTCTTCTTCAATGACTTCAATATCTAGTTCAGCAGAATTATCATTAATCATTTGATGCCTATCTTAAATCTACAATGACTATTCGATATTATTTTGCAATAAATATACAAGTATTCTTTTAAAATGAAAAGTACTATGAATTAGATACATGATTTAATTTCCATCTTTCGATCAAAATAGCAAAAGAAAAGAAAATTAAATATATAAGTGAAGATATCGTGTATTGGTATTAAATAAACCAATACAATTGACTTTTCGTGTATCTCTACCAATAAAGATGTCGACTACAGCCAATAAATATACAGATTTTTATTAAACATGATTTTATTTTTCTTCAAAAAACAATAGTCCAAATGGGGTACAAATTCTGTACCCCTGAGGTACAAATTTTTTTGAGGTACAAATCGCTCAAATGGGGTACTGTACCCCCAAATGGGGTACGGATGGCAGGCCTGGTATATATGTATAAGGAAAACTAAATCTATTTCTATTCCTAAACTCACAGGGGTATGGGGGTATACATGTATAAGGAAAACTAAATCTATTTCTATTCCTAAACTCACAGGGGTATGGGGGTATATATGTATAAGGAAAACTAAATCTATTTCTATTCGTAGACTCACAGGGCTGTGGGGGTATATATGTATAAGGAAAACTAAATCTATTTCTATTCCTATCTAGTCGTTTGTTATAAGGGGTATATAGATATGTATTTATATTCGAATTGATACTAGCCTGTCGGGGGTCGACTTATAATGTAAGTCGAATTAGGCATCTCATGCCACCTTCATAATGAACTGTCCAAGTTCAAACTATCCTATACAAAATAACGATGAGACATTCACCGATTGACGTCATTCTGCAAGAATTTTTCAACCACTACTACAATCTATATCCCTATTCTTAACCAAAACACACACATATACGCTAGAAAAATTTGGACATCTGCTTGATTTTCCACACCTCCTAACACAGCCAACTTCCGTAACACATCCATACGCAAAGTATTTCCCATGATCAACTACTAAGAGCAATACCATCTCGGTTCGAAACTACTACCTTGACACAAAAACAAAATACCACCCAAAGCGATAGTTTCTTTACGAGCGCTCAGATGGTCTTTGACCGCCTTCGCTAATCCTTCTTTCTGTTTTCCCAATGCTCCACAGCATACAAAACCCAGTCATAAATCATATCCCATACACACCCTCACCCTCAACTTTCGAGTATTACATGTATTTGAGTAATTAGAATGAATCATAAGATTACAATGATGGAAAGAAAGAAAAATAAACCACTGAATGTATTTTAAAAGAAACTTTTTCGCAGAAAGAATGAATGTTTTTCTTTTTCAATATTTCTGTTACAGCGTGTTACCTCGATAACGATATCATATAGATATCACTCGAAGATATCATGTCTTTGTTCTAGAACCTCGATCCACCCTTTGTTTTCTCATATATAAAAGGACGCGTGTATTTTTGAAATAAATAGAGATACATACGCGTACACACCAGAAAGAACACGTCTCTCACTCTAACATGGCGACCCTGGCTATCTTCTTCGTCCAAATATCACACTGAAGAAGAATCGAGCCGCTCTTATTACATCGGGCAAAACACTTTATACCAGAGCCACTCATAGTGACTCGAGCAAACAAACAAATCTCTTACCTGAATCCAAAATAAAGGAAAACACAAACTACACGATATATAACCAACAACAACGGCTACCGGTACCCGACACCAAGTGAAAGAAAAAGGAGACATCCTTTTGCCACACACAATCATTACGTATCCAGAGAGTCATACACTACAAAACGAACCGAACACAGATTTAAACACACTATCGTCTCCTGAGGAAGAAGAAGAGCAAATAAATCATACGACAGCAACAACAGTTCATATCACATCAACGCAAGCGTCGACACAAACCAGAATCAACAATAACGTAAACAATCACCAAATGGTTGATCAAACATTACTTGCCAGAGCTCGAAAAGCTCGTTACGATGATTTACCAAACTTCTCGGGACATCCATCGGAAGACGCTGAACGATTTTTAAAGAGCATAAAAAATATCACAAAAGCCAACAACGATCCGGTGGACCCGATGTTCCTCGAAATTGTTCGCGGCAAATTAACACAAAGTGCCGGCTTATGGTTCGACGACAACGAATCTCAGTTTAACAGATGGTCAGATTTCGAAACGGCATTTCGAAATCGTTATTTTTCAACGACGAACGTAAACACGAAATTCGATAAATTATCACAACGAAAACAACAACCCGACGAATCAGTAACTGCGTATTACGATGATATCATCACGTTATGCCGAGAAGTTGATCCAAACATGACAGATACTATTATCATCCAACACTTAATGAAAGGCATCAATCCAGAATTCCGAAAGGAACTTACGCGTCGACAAACTGCAATAGCAACATTGCCCGAATTTCTTCGAATTGCAAAGCTTGAGCAAGATCTTCACGAGGTATTTACACAGTCACAAGAAGTAATAATACAGCCCGAAGCCTATCCGATGTACCACCTTGGTTCTGCAGATAATCGAAACATATCACGAAAGATTCCGGGATACGGACAACAACTTCGCAACTCATGGAGTCAAAATTCCCGTTCAATACCTATGAAGAGCTCCGACCAAAATCGGAACTCGTATTCGAAGGTTCCACAAATAACATCAATACGTAAACAAACATCCAATCCTACGACCGAAACAGCACTCGATCAGAATAATCAAACGCCACATCAATCATGTAAAGTCTGTGGAAAACAAAATCATCGTTCAATTGACTGTTTCAAAAAACGCCAATCCGGCTGTTTCAATTGCGGTCAAGGACATCCAGTCCGCAATTGTCCAGATCCGCCGCATTTTCAATAACTGGGACACATGATGGCGGTGTACCCAGTCAAGTCGAAAAGCCATCACCGTCGACAAGCCCGATTTACATCAAAATTCAAGTCAACGATCAACCTACAGAAGCTATTGTCGACACCGGCTCCGCCATCACAATCATTCATCAAAATCTTCTGAAGAAAATTCCGCACAAAAACTTCATTTATAAAACCAGAGAATGTCAAACAGCCAACTCAACTCCTTTACACATTATCGGCCATATCGAACTAGAAATCAAATTACGAAACGTGAAGACACACATTATAGCTAACGTAGCAACAAATCTAATTACAAAACTTCTCCTCGGAAACGACTGGATAAACCTAAATCACGTACACTTGTTTGGCGATCAACAACATCTTACAATACCCGATCAAAACGGCCAACCGATACGAATCCCATATGAAGAATACACCAACCTGAGTTATCCAGCACTCTTAACAAATGAAGTGACCCTCGAACCATACTCACAAACATTAGTCGAAGTTCAAACCCAACTGACGAATGCAACCGACGTTATCTTCGAACCAAACAAACAATATAATGCTCGACTCATATTCATGCCATGCACACTTCTTGATATTCCAAACAATACGGCAAAAATTCTAATAATGAACGGCCAAAACAATCAACGAACATTATCCAAACACACCAGAATCGGAACATTCTTTCGAGAACCAGAATTAATCGCATGTCTTACATCGACACAATCGAAGAGAGATAAACGACAAGAACCTTTAGTTCTCGCCATTCAAACGAAATCCAACATGTCAACATACAATTTACGCTGTGACGAATGCAAAGAGGAATTCCTATCAGGGAATGATCTGCAAAAGCATCTTCGAGCAAAATGTTATTCTGAACAGATTCGGCAACGAATCGTAGACTTCGTGAAACACATCGAAGACCCAAGTCAACGAGGTAAACTAGAAGATATCTTATGGCGTAATAAAATTCTCTTCGATCCAACGCCTTCAATGATCAACATCCCTCCTCAATCAGCCATTAAAACAATCGACCATCCTCCTGTCTATTCAAAACAATACCTCGCTTCAGAAAAGGATCAACTTATAAAACAAGAAGAAACAAGAAAGCTCCTCGAACGGGGTCAGATAGAAGAATCAACGTCACCATGGTCGTCTCCAGTAGTCTTGGTAAAGAAGAAGGACAAAACAGTTCGATTCTGCATCGATTATCGTCGTCTTAACACCATTACAGTCAAGGATGCATTTCCATTACCACGAATCGATGAAATTTTCGATCCACTAACACATGCGGTCTATTTCTCCAAATTCGACTTTAAATCTGGGTATTTCCAGGTCCCTCTCGCGAAGGAGGACCGTCCAAAAACGGCTTTTTCAACCAGAGACAATCACTTCCAATTTACCGTCCTTCCGCAAGGCATCACCAACGGACCCGCGACCTTTCAGCGAATTATTAATCACATACTGGGACCCACACGGTGGCAATATGCCTTAGCATATATCGACGACATAATTATCTACTCAAAGACATTCAACGAACATCTAACACACCTGAATGAAATTTGTCAACTACTGAAAGATGCCAGATTTCGCTTAAACCCAGAAAAATGCGAAATCGCTAAACGACAAATCGAATATCTAGGCCACCAAGTCGGCGATGGAAATATTCGACCATGTCCAAAAAATATCAATGGATTACTGAACACACGATTACCAGAAACGGCTGATGAAGCATGCAAATTCGTGAAAGCAGCTGAATATTATCGCAAGTTTATCCCGAATTTTTCCGTTATCGCTGAGCCTCTGCGAAAATTTGTACCAACGACACGAACACAAGCAAAGAAAGGCCAGAAAACCTCGGTTATACTGAACGAATTAGAACAACAAGCATTTAATCAATTAAAACAAATATTAACCAACGATCTCGTCCTACGAATACCAGACAATCAGCGACCACTCAAATTACAAACAGATGCTTCAGACGAAGGAATCGGTGCTGTATTATTACAGATCTACCCCGAGGGAGATCGTCCAGTGGCATATTTATCGAAGAAATTCACAGCTGCACAACAGAAATGGAGTCCAATGGAGCAAGAATGTTACGCCTTCATCTGTGCATTGCAAAAATGGCATAATTATTTAAATGGCGTCAAATTTGTATGGGAAACCGATCACAAATCATTGACACAATTGAACCAAAAAGCCCAACTTAACAAACGTTGTGAAAGATGGCGACTGAAAATCTTAGAATTTGATTTCAAGGTGAAATATATTCCAGGCTCCACCAACGTTATGCCAGATTACTTATCACGGTCTCCAGTAGAAGAAGCAGAAGAAGAGCCAGATGAAATAATATCAACATCATCAACAAGTACACAAACGGTCAATGATCAAGTCTTCAATCAACCCTTATTAACAGCAGCAATCCAAACACGATCGATGAAACGATCCGAAGCATCTATTAATGATAACCAACAGCAAGACAAGACCGAAACAACAGATTCTCATCCACAAGAGAATCGTATCATCGCATTCACTATTAATCAACTGAAAGAAGCACAACAAAAGGATGAAGCCATCATTGAAATTTTCAAGAATATTAACAATCGAAACGATTACACTATTATTAACGATATTTTAATGTATAAGTCTGATCCGCCGGTTCCTTATGTACCGGAAGGAGACATTCGAATCAGTATCATGAAAATATATCACGACTCACCAGCAAATGGAGCCCACTTCGGCAGAGACAAAACCCTGCACAAGATCAAACAACGTTACTTTTGGCCATCAATGACGAAAGATATTACAAACCACGTAAAAAGCTGTATACTCTGTGCCAAATTTAATCCTCGTCGTCGAAAACCACCGGGTGCATTACAACCACTGCAACCACCAAACGGCGTTTGGCAACTACTATCGATAGACTTCCACGGACCACTAGCACCCATATCACAACGTGGTAATCGTTACATCATTTGTGCCACCGATGTACTATCAAAATTTACTGTGACTAAGGCTGTACGTGATTGTTCTGCCCAAACAGCAGCACGATTCATCAAGGAAGATATCATCTGCAAATTCGGTACTCCACAATGCATATTAACGGATAACGGCACTCACTTCACAGCCTCGTTAACCACCGAACTGTTCAAACAACTCGGCATTACTCATCTTTATGCGACTCCATATCATCACCAAACGAATGGTCAAGTGGAAAGATATAATTCTACCATGGATGCAAAGATCGCGACTCTTTCAAACGAACGGAAAACGAACTGGGATGATCAACTGCCATTCATAACATTCAATTATAACTCAACGTTTCATGCCAGTACCAATCAAGTACCCTTCGAAACAATGTACGGACGGCGACCCGTCCTCCCCTTCGATCAACAAAGTGACAACGTCTCACTGACATATGATAGAACACATACAAAACAACTCGAAAACTACCTTTCAACAATGGCAGAATTAGCAAAAGAAAACATCAATAATAATCAGCAACGATACAAACAACAATACGATTACAACCGAACAAACCCGACATACAACACTGGAGAACTCGTCCTGATTAAGACATTAAATCATCACTCAAAATTTGACCCAAAATTCGAAGGACCCTTCAGGATTACCCGCAAATTAGGACCAAAGACATTTATTGTCCAACATACCAAGAAATTAACTCTTACTAGGCAAGTAACAGTTGATGTTATGTTGCCAATCTTCGAACGAAATTACTAAACTCCACAGCAACACAATTTATGGGTGATCCGAATAACGACGGAGAACAGATGAACGGGAAACGATTGACAGCAAACCAAATAGCGAAGAAATGCAATCTTAGATCATGATCAATCATCTCAATCGACCAAACAGCGAGCGAAGAATTACTTCGTACGTTCATATCGATCTTCTAGATTTTCATGTGCGCAGTGAGAATCGTACAAGAACGACCCCTATCAACAATTGGTCGACAAAATTCCTCCGTGGTCACACACTATAACAGACCAATAGTTATAATGCCCAAAAGAATAATATCCGGAAACCCATAAAACGAATTAAATCAAATAAAATAAAAAAATCGAACTAGAATAAAATCAGTCGAAACAACGAGATTCTTACACCAAGAATCGACANATTTTACTGGCACATGATCAATCCATTTGTTTACGAAAATAATCGCTGAATTCGTTTGATAAATGGTGAGACACTGGTGGATTATCGATCAAATAATCAGTAGCAGCACGCACTACAGTGTCTTTCACTAATGGTAATGCCATGAATGATTTCAACCAAACCTTAATTTCTTCATTTTGATCGTACAACGTTGATAAGCCAATTTTCTGGATATTTCTATACACACTTTGTGTAAAATGATACCAACATCCATGAATATATATATCTGGAAAGTGAAGAAAAACGAAAAAGAAAATATCGTCGATTTAAGGAATAATTACACTTACCATTTTCTCCAATGCATTGATCGTTGCGAGCTCGAAGTCCAAATAAGCACATTTTGGCTCGAAATTGAAGCCGAATTCCATTGATTTTCTCATTAAAAATTTGAATATTTTCTCACAAACTCCTTGAGTTCTTTTTGGAGCAAGACACCATACTAACGGAATAGCTAAATTTAAAAAATCCTTGTAAGTTAATAGTAATTTGTCGAATAAAAAATTAAATGGTACCTTCGTCAAGATGTTGACCCATTATAACATATACTTGGGAGAACATCGTCGGACGAGTCTTAAATTTACCGTCTACCAGAATAACTTCACAACTACATAGCATTTGAATCAAATATCTTGTGGAAAAGATCATTAATCGTCCGCCCAATTTCTTGTGAGTTGCGTCATAGAGAAGAAAATTTTCACCTTGGTGTGTTGTTGAATAAAAAGTGGGAACTTCAAAATCCAATGACTTCGGAGTAGGTGGCAATAATTTTGCCCGAATTTTGTAAAATTTGGAAGCTAGACAAAGAAAACAATATGTATTTATAGTTTTTCCACTTCGATATAGTCTCTCATACGAGACTTTATCGGAAAAGTTCCCCTACCTTGCGCTTGTGGTAATAAAAAATGGCACCGTTCTTCACTGTTCAAATTGCCTTTTATATATTCATCTTCTATAATACGTGTGACTGATGAAGGTTCTGACAACACGCGGTCCTTTATTTTCTGTAAAATCAGTAAACGTTTAGCATTCTGATAATTTGGTGGATGATTGTGTTCAACAAAGTTTGAACTCTTATATCTGCTTGTATCAATGCGGATGTAAATAATTGTTCGGCAGCCGGTTCCTTTTCTTGAACAACGAAACGTCCGTTGGTTCTTTTTAATTGATTCTGACATGAAGTCGTACGTATGTCCGCACATACATAATCTATCATTGCCACGATTCGTTTTACACCATTCGATTTCACCAGTATCCACTGACCATGACGTTACTGCATCGAATTCATTGTTATCATCGATTACACATACATTATCGTGCTGATCGTTATAAATAGAGTGAATCGATGGTGACAGAAAATCAAGATTCTGTTCACCATTGTTGATATTATTGTTAATACTATGATGATCTTGATGATATAAAGTAGTTTCGAGCATACAAGCTGGCGGTGGCGCTGTTGTCGTGTCATCTAAACATATAAATAAATTTTATCTATTTAACAACAAATATGCAAACATACCAATTACATTTGGACACGCTGCTGTTGTCGTCGTAATCATTGGTTCTGTTGATATCAATTCGGTGAATGGTGGTATATGCTGTTTGGCCACTTTCTTCTTTTTCTTACTATGTGCTTTGTTGACACTAACAGGTGAATTTACAGTATTTGTACTTGGTGATCGTTGTTGGCGTGCTGCAGCAGAACGAGTGGTAGCTACCATTTATAATGAATTAAATAGATTGTAGTTGGATATACGATGAAGAATATCTTGATGTTAAAGTAAAAGTTGGTATGAAATGAATAAGCAGGACGAACGGCTTATATACTCATGTCTACACAAGTGAACAAACTACCAGCCCTTTTCCTTTGTTCACCTCGATATATGAATACATCTGACGAGACACAAATATATATATGATGACATCGAGGCCAAACAAAGGATGCACATAACAGATTCAGAGGAGAATCATTGTATTTTTCATCCGTTAAGTAATATGTATTCGAGGGTATAGACAAACATGACCTGGAATGATAATGTACGGAGGAACGCAAAATCTTCTTCATACAATATCAAAACAAGTGTAAACATATCGAGCAAAGAGATGGTTTTGATCAAAAGACACAATAAAAATATTATAGCCTGTTCGATTAAAAAATTAGATATTAGGGACTACATATGTATATACCATATAGTACGGTATCAATCATCAAACATCGATATCCATATATATTGTTTCAAACGCATTTTTTGAATAAAGCTCTGTCGCAATTCCGTCGAAAAATAGACACTAAAAATCGCAGCAAAAAGAAAATTTTATCGTTATTTCTCAGGAATTTGGACAATTGCCGAATTTCCATAGAACCCTATGAATATAACAAAAAAGACGAGTGTGAGCGTTTGTTACGTACATAGAGGGTGAAAACCGTATTAACATTACCTATCAAAGCATACACAGATGCACGATTGCAAAGGGATATTTAATCGTTTTAAAAATTCAACAATCTTGTGCGCCAGTGTTGCGGCGTCGAATGCTTCCAATGGGACGAAACCAAGGAAGTATTCATTCACTACGTCTGTTCTGTTCGTCATCCGATTGCTCAAATCATGAACGAAACGAATTACAATTGATAGTTGCTTGGTGACCGCTGATGTCGCGGCTCTTATTATCCATCAATGCATGCGTACAATTATTCACCTGAGAGGAGAAAAGAGAGACTTAATTTTGCCGAGCAAACGAGGACGGGCAGCATGAATTTCGCCGTAAACGTAAAACGTTTGTTAAAAATATACGTATTCAATTCAGACACAGCTCTCATCCTCGCCTAGTGCTGCGTGTGCGCGCTAATCATTGGAATGAGCGTCTGAACCACTTTCAGAGAAAATAAATGCTGGTAAAAGTATATGGCAAAAGTCAGTACGGCGAAATTCCTGTTTCCCACGAGGATAACTGTCTAACCATTGACGAAACCTTCTTCGTGAATTTTATTACTCCTAATGTGGAGCTAGGGTGACGGTGTGGATGTGGGCAAGGGCGAGAGTGAGCGTCTGGATGTAAGTATGATTTCTGATTAGGATTTGAGTGACGATTAAAGTGAGTGTGAGAGTGTGAATGTGGCTGAAAATGTGGGCGAGGGGTGAGGATGTAGTGTATGTGGAAGTCAGTGTACGCGAGGATATAGGAGATGGCGTAGAAAATGTGCAACTGATGGTAAGAGTGAGAGTATGAGTATTGGTGCAGACGAAATACCTTCCAAAGTAGAATTTGCACCATTGTCTTGAGACTAGGGTTACAAAAGAAGCTGTTATTAAAAACATCATTGTCGGCAAAACGGCCTGTCAGCGAAGTGTGGCGGGCCGCAGTAATTTTATTTCTTGATTTCTCGTTTACAAATTTCGATACTTTCTTCTGAATCTTTTATATTCGGGTGATTCGCACGTAATGCACGTTGCCATATGCTCAGAGCGCGTTCAAAATAGGTGAGTGCCTTCGAATATTCTCCCATGTTCTTGTACACCGCACCGATGTTGTTGTAGGAAGTAGCCAGATCAGGATGATTTGAAGAGAGAGTTTTCTGTTCAATTTCAAGTGCTTTCTCGTGGAATGTGATTGCTTTCGAATACTCTTCCATGTTCTTGTGCACCGCACCGATGTTGCTGTATGAACTAGCCAAATGAGGATGGTTTGAAGGAAGAGTCTTTTCGCAGATCTCAAGTGCTTTTTCATAGAATGAGAGTGCTTTCGAATACTCTCCCATGCTGTCATAGATCCCACCGATGTTGTTGTAGGAAGTAGCCAAATCAGGATGATTCGAAGGAAGAATTTCCTGTCGAATTTCAAGTGCTTTCTCAAAGAGTGAGAGTGCTTTCGAATAGTCTCCCATGTTGTAATACACCCCACCGATGTTGTTGTACGAAATGGCCAAATCAGGATGATTCGAAGGATAAGTTTCCTCCTCGATTTCAAGTGTTTTTTCATAGAATGATAGCGCTTTCGAATATTCTCCGATGTCCATGCACACCAAACCGATGTTGTTGTACAAAGTAGCCAAATGAGGATGATTCGAAGGAAGCGTTATCTGGTAGATTTTAAGTGCTTTCTCATAGAATGTGATTGCTTTCGAATACTCTTCCATGTTCTTGTGCACCGCACCGATGTTGTTGTATGAACTAGCCAAATGAGGATGATTCGAAGGAAGAGTCTTTTCGCAGATCTCAAGCGCTTTTTCATAGAATGAAAGTGCTTTCGAATACTCTCCCATGCTGTCATAGATCCCACCGATGTTGTTGTAGGAAGTAGCCAAATCAGGATGATTCGAAGGAAGAGCTTTCTGCCGAATTTCATGTGCTTTCTCATAGAATGAGAGTCCTTTCGAATATTCTCCGATGTTCATGTACACCAAACCGATGTTGTTATACGATTGAGCGAAATCAGGATGATTCGAAGGAAGAGCCTTCTGTCGAATTTCAAGTGCCTGCTCATAGAATGTGAGTGCTTTCGAATATTCTCCCATGCTGTAACACACCGCACCGAGATTGTTGTACGAAGTAGCCAAATGAGGATGATTCGAAGGAAGAGTTTTCTCTTCGATTTCAAGTGTTTTTTTATAGAATGTGAGCGCTTTCGAATAGTCTCCCATGTTGTCATACACGCCACCGATGTTGTTGTACGAAGTAGCCAACAAATGATGATTCGAAGGAAGAGTCTTCTGTCGAATCTCAAGTACCCTTTCATAGTATTCTACAGCCGTCTTGTAATCACCTTGTTGATTTTTCAGATAACCAAGATTGTGATAATAAAGTGCTGTGTCGCTCTCGTCAGACGTTTGTTTCAGTAACACAGTGTATAGATCTTCGGCTTTCTCCATCTGTCCTATTCTCAGCAATAAGTTACCCAAACGCTGCCAGCCTGTATCACCTTCAATTTCACCTTCGACACGTTCGGTAAGTGCTCGAAGTTGTGGATCGTCATCAGCTGTCAGCTGAAGTTGCACCTGGTAATAGATTTGATTCTTGTCACCTGCTTGTCGAATTGTACCAACTCGAAACACACTGTGCATCGAGAAAAGAATCTCTGCTTCGTCTTTGAAATAACTGAAATCTCCAATCGAGGCGAACGGAGTTGAAGAAATATTTGGATCAACTGTGATTACAAATAGAATGCCTACCTTTTCGGGATCATCCAGAGTGAGATAAGTGAAGTCAAGAGATCTCTTTTTTTCGGTACTGGTAGATAAAAAGTTGTTGAAAGCTAGAAGACCACCCGCAGTTGTTGATAACTTATAAAAGTCTTCCTTAAGTAGCCCTTGTCCGCGGTAGACTGGGAAGGGTTTTCCTTGGTAACTACTGACCTGTTGTTGGTGGAGCTGTTTTATTTGTTTGTGTAAGTCATGAAGGAAGAAACCCATGTTAATGATGACTTCACCATCCAGAGTGCGAAGTGCTCGATTGAGCATTTGGTAGGTAAAACACTCACGTGTATACCACCAGATGGCCTTGTCTGGACGATAATCACGTTCGAATTCTTTGATAGTATTTTCTTCATTTATATTTCCACTATAAAGTTTACGACAATACTCTGCTAAGTCTGTGATAGTTTGTTTGTCGTGTTCCATTTCTAGAAGAATGTTCTTGAATATTTGCGTGTACATGAAACTTGGTTCTAGTTGATCGAGATTCTCCTTGAAAGCACCCTCTCTTGCCGTGACAAAACTCATGGCGATAGAGTCTTGATTGTGCTGTTTGACACCTGTGGTCAGTGCCTCACAAATTTCCTTGATATTCGTATGGACACCCTTAATTTTTGTCCATTTCTTGGTCCAGGTTTCATGTCTGGACTTGTTACCACAGAAGATGTAGATGGTATTCACTTGTGGAATGCCATGAATATCGGGAACCAAGTGTCGACCTAAGTATCCCGCTGTGATGACGAAAGCCTTCTGATCACCGATGCTGTTGAGGAATTGAACACAATCATCCGGTTGAGTATACAAATTGACATAGTTTACAATGGTTCGTAAGTGAGCTAAAGTGTTTTGCCAGTCTTTGTCTTGATCATCGACGTTGGCATCGACCCAAACTAATAGATAATTTTGAGCCATACGTCGCCGCGATTGATTAGTATTCATGGTCATTGTAGAATTTGGTATTGACTCTTGTATATTCATTTTATCGAGTAAATTGAAGTTCACAGTATTTGTTCTTTTGTGAGAACGATTAAAGCAGCTACTCTTTTTTATCGGCAGTGAATGGTGTTCTTCTCTTCTTCAGTTTTTTTTCTGCGACAAAAAAATGTTCACATTATTCTTTTATTTTCGAGAGAAATTGTCGTAGTATACAAGCCGAGGAAGAAAAAAACATGTGCACAAGACTTTTTTGAAGGTACTTGAAACGGGCGAAGAAAGAATGAAGTCGTTGACAAACGTGCTTGTTATTCTCTCCAACTTTCTCTTTTTGTTGTTGTGTTTCACGTCTTGTAGCGTCTCAAACTATTTTGCCGCGAATAAGCCGTTGCCATCCAGATACAACAAGCCGGAATATTTCTTGTGTAACTCGCGATCAGAAAACAACTATCAACATCTGGCTTTCATTATTCCGATCTGCAAACATCAAGCTATGTAACGATGAGGGTGTGAGCAAGGTATCACCTATCAACGTTTGTACTTCTGTACAGTTCCACCCACACCCACACCCACCCTCAAGATATGCATACCATTATATTTCATTATTTAGATACGATGGCCACAAATAATGTTGGATGCATTAATGAAAACTTCGAGAAAATATCACAAAGAAAATATATAGCCGAATGTAAAACAATATTGGTGATCAGAGGTGTAAAAGGGTATGAAGAATTTTTACGCAACAAAATAGAACAACCCAGTGTAACGATAATGATATCGTTTATCTCTTTCTGTTCTTTATTCTCTCACCTCTGTATCATACTATCTCCGGGCCATATCTCTCTTTCCTCTTCTTTATATAAGCGTGTGTCTTATTGTGAAAGAGATACATTCTGGTCATGTAGAGTAGTCAATAAACATCGATACCGTGAGAAGCGGTCAGCTACTCAACCAGTTTGTCGTTGCAGCTGCAAACGGTTAATTTCGTGGAGATGAAACTTTGGATGTACACATTCACTGGAAAGGTTATTGTCAAGCCGGTTGAAAGGCCAAAAATAGCGTTGTATGTACGAGAACAGATCAAAAAGTGATTTTTGTTTTTTTTTGAAAAATTATTTATAGTTTGCTCACATGGACTTTGGAATTTATTTTCTTTGTTGCAGTAGTTTTAGCTTTAGAAAGTGTGATATTCAAACATTGATGATGGATGGATGTAGCAAAGTTATCCATGAACCAGGAATATGTTCCAGAAAGAATGAAGTACAGATATGCAGTTACAAAAAGGGAAACAAGCTGAAATGTTTATTTCGAAATCTATTTGAGTTGATGGAAGTCTTTGACATTTTTCACGAGTTCGTTCACAGTTTGTCGAGTAGGGATATTGTAGTAATCGGAAAGTGGTCAATAAACTTGTACTGCAAAAATTGGATGAGTATTCTACACGTGTGGACACTTAAATAAAATTGAAAGCATTCAAGGTGATAGTTGTGCTAAAACCACACTTACTTCTGTTATTGGAATATGTGGGGCAACACTCTCGGGTAGTAAAACCTTGATTGAGAGTTTCTCAATATTCATTTTAAATTTTTTGTCGTAGAGCACTTGAGGGGAACAACCAAAGAATATGTTATTCAATCTTGAATATAACATTTCCAATTCTGCTGTGTCATAGCAGAAGTTTCTCCAATGTATGGAGTGGTTCGAATCTAATTCCTGGAAAAGTAGAAATTTGGTTCTTTTTGTAAAGAGGAGGAGAATAATTGTTTTCTCGAGGATCGAACAGGACTGGGTTCTGCAGTGAAGACTAAAAAATACTGTCTGTCTGGATCGATAGGAGAATATTCGCGGTTTTTGTCGTTTGCAGTTGTGTTTTGTTTACATTTGATAGACATTGTAGTGTTTGGATAAAGCTGTTGCGGGAGATTACTACCACTGGTAAATTTTTTTCTTTTGCAATACGCAATTGGTTTTTGAATGCGGTAATTTGAACATAGTCAACTGGTCGTGATTCGACATTTAAAAAAAGCTAGATATACTGAAGATAGAAACGTGCATAAAACTTGCATTTTGAAATCTAAACCGATCTCACCGACTCCGATAACTTTTCGATGATTGAAAGTTCGCCGTAAATCAAGCTCCATATTCGTATCGTAGTGGTGCGCAAAAAGTGGTGAAATTCCACAAGTTGCATATACACATGGATGAATAAGATAGTTTTTATATTCATTCTTCCAATTTTCTATAAATAACAAATAGGTTAGAAAGGGAGAAAAAAATACACATACCATATCTTATATGAGGAGGTGCAAAATAGGATTGGATTACATAAATCATATCGATTCCTTTATTGTAAATTCCGGAATTATAATGTAGGTATTGATAAATGTCTTGTTTGGAATTCTTCATCCTAGAAGCAATCGATATAAAACTACTTTTAGAAGTCTATGGCGGTACTCACTTTTCGAAAAGCACATAAAAGTGGCAGTAGTGTGAGCTCTCTATATCCAAATCGAATTCATCATGAAGGAAAAGGAGAGACTCAACGAGAATAACTATGTTTATTCGAGTTGAAAGAGCAAGGGACTCCCCAACGAAAAGCGAAAGAATGTTATCTGTAATAACAGTCTTTCAAAATGGAAGAGAAGAGCGATACGTGATCGCTAACAAGAGCGGCCGGTTTTTCACTAAAGAAATAAAGTGGTCTACGGCTTCACTCTTGTTCTTGTAACTCCCAACCAAGGATTTCGTCACAATATGGAATCTTCGTATGTGCTCTTTTCGTTCTATTCAAACCTATATATATATATGTTTTGTTTTTCGTTAATAAACGTTGGTTCCGCACCTGATAAGATTTTCTGCTAATTGACATCCAAAGAAACAACGTCTATGTCACAAGCAGTCGAACTACGCAGTTCATGTAAGCTTATCTGTGATCTTTGGATAGCTTACGCAGCTTAAAATCATCTGATGATTCCCTTAGCCATAATGAAATCGCGATAATGGCGTGCTTTGACGCATCGTCACTCCACCTTTTTTTCGCATGGTCTTCATCACAATCGAGGATATTAGGAGATGTCGTTGCGTTGTTTCAATATGAGTTGTTTGATTCTGGTTCTTATAATAATCCATATTCTGTGGTATAGAGCAAAACGAATAGTATTTTGCAACATTTATTTAATAATGAGTACACAATACGAGAATTAAAACAGTGGAATGAACGGAAGGGAAATCTGTGTACAAAAATAGTTTGCGAATAGAATATCAAAGTCGATCGACATAAACTAAGGAGTGGCTAGATGCATGACTTCAGCTGCTAATAGTTCTCTTGAGTATAACTGAAATTCATCTAACAAATCAGAATATTGACCTGTGGTGATCACACCAGATGCACAAGCGCCAACATTACTCGGTGAGGCACCCAATGTAATTGTCACGGGTGCGTTGATCGTTGACCATACAAAACTCGGTGATGATGTATTGAATAGCGTGCCATTAATCCATAGTCGCAATCCATTCAATGATGAATAAGTGATGGCGATATGTGTCCATACTCCAGTAGAGATAATGGGTCCTGTCAAAGAAACTACACCGCTGCTACTACAACTTTGAACACCGATATTGCCTGCATTTGTGAAACCAAGCATGGGCATCGACCATGTTATAGTACCTGAAGTAGGTGATACATGAATAATCGTACCACCTGCGACTGAAGTAGGTCGAATCCAGATGACGATGGAATACGAATAGCCGTTGGTACCCAAATAGACAAGGCCACGAGCTTCAACAAAAGACGAACTGCTCGATAGTTTTAGACTTTGATTGACTCGACCGAAAGGGGAATACTGCACATTGATACCAGTACCATTAATACCGAGAGGACCGTCATCAAGAAGTGTATTGTTGTTGAATGTATATGAAACTGTAAGGGTAGCGTCTCGTAATACCTCAGCAGCACTGAAAATAAACAAAATATTTTTCATATTGGTGTAAATCATGAGCATGGGCTTACCTTTTGGCGCGAGAAAAATACGTGATTTGGTCGAGGCAACCATCCCAGAAGTTCGGTGAACCGACACCATTAGTACCGATGGTTAGATCACCACTGATACCTTCATATGGGCCTTTAAGAGATCCTGAGTTATCAAGATCTCCATTAACATATACTAATTGTTTTCGATTCTGATAATCATAGACAAATGCCATCTAAAAAGATTGCTAACTAGTCTGTGTAGCGCATAAATATAGAAAAACTCACATGATACCATACTAGAGGCTGAAGAACTAGACTACCACTTATATCATCACCGTAGAATCCCAAGTAAATCGTTTGATATCTCACTGTAATATGCAGAGAGCGGCGCGCGGTATTTTGATCATGTTGACCAAATATAGCATTATCACAAATTCCAATGCCGCATCCAGTTCGGAACGAATTCGCTCGAGCCCAAACGGTTAAGGAAAACGATGTATATGCCATATTCAAAAACGGAGGTTCGTAGACCGTCACCGATTGATTTAGTGAACCGTTCAGATACAAACATGAACCATAGCCGGTGATGCCAGGCGATTGGTAGGTTGGATTGTTTTTCCCACTGCCGGGAAAGTTTCCGTATAAGTCAAGCAGATTATTGTCGAATGACCAGAAGATTCTCATGGCTATTCGTAGAAAAGAATTAGATTATATCTGATGACATGTGTGCGATACATACGTGTTTGACATTGTGATCCTGTCCAAACATCAGAAATACATAGACATGTATTAGTGGAAAGAACACAAGTGCCACCATTGAGACAAGGTGGATTGCAAATCGCTGAAAAGAATTTAAAATATATTAGTTCTGCCCAGTTAAACAATAAGAAGATATACGAAATTTTATATTTCCTACAAGGTACCCTCTATGTATCATACATGTAATTGCATCAAATATTGGGATTACCTGTTGTGTTTGTCGTTGACGCTATGGATGTTGTAGTCGTCGTTTTGATGTTAGTATCTTTTATAGTAAATAAAACCCCAAATAATTTACAAAAGCAATTTATGTACCCTCTCTTGATAGAATTTTCACAAGGATTCCAGTAAGAAGAACAGCAAGAAGAATCCCACCCATGGTTGATAAAAGTGTGCACAATGGAGTACACGGGCAGCAACAACGTCTAAAAGTAAAAAAACAACGTAGGTTCCTGAGCAATTATCTATGTACTTTTGTCGGTTTTTTCGTTTTCGATGATAGTCAAAAGAATGAATACGATTTTCTTTATTTGTATATGATCTACTGGAAGCCTTGTTTTTCTGAATGCCGACAATTGGATAAGTGACACAAGACACTCCAGAAGATGACAATGATGCAAAATTGTATGGTGTCGTCTGCTTGATTGAGAACTAGTTGAAAAGGATAAGTAGATAAGATATATGACATGAATGAAAAATAATACTGATGAAAAATCATTCTGGCCGTTTTTATTCGGTGGACTCTGTGTTGATGCATCTTCTGCCGGTTGAGCGTGAGTGTTGGGATAAATCTTTTGAGAAAATGATCTCGTGCAGCTTGCTCCTGAATGCTGCTCCGCTGATTGAGATACTATATCACTCTACAAAACTCAATTCTTCGGTCAATGTACGAGTGTACAACGATAGATTAGCATACCTTTTCCAACGATTGACGAAGAGATAATTTGGTGACTCTTACACTGGATTGATACTGCTTGTTCTTACTTTTTACTTGGTATCTTGTTCGCATCGGCTGGAGGAGAATCGAATCGCTGTGAATATTCTTCATTGGCGCCCGGTAGAAGATTGTTTAAACAGAATTTTTTCGCAATATATATGATTATGTAAAGGTGCTTCTTTCATTATTCGAGAAGCTGCACAAGACTTTGAGTCAAAATAAGTTCGATACGAACAAAGAAATTCATCATCGATCACCATAGTATGACGATCTTTTTCGCATGCGCTGTACGCATGCTATTTGTCGCTACTTCGGTGTATTTTTATGTACTTTGGCATTATCCTTCCTTCCTTTCTATCGAGAGAGGGTTATATAAATGTGTGTTCTGTATTAGAACGAGGCGATTGATGGTAGGAACTTCAAAATTAACCAAAAAGAAAAGTTTTTTTTTATTTTGCTAATAACTGCGATCATTTGATCCTAACAGTACAGAGAAATAGTAGAAATTAATTAACAAAACAATAATAAAGATCAGCGAATCAACTGAAATCAGAAAGAATAATCCAACAAAACAAAAGAGAAAGTTTACTACTTAGGGTATACCAAAAGTAACGAGAATTGTCCTGTTATTTGTTACCAAAGCGTTAAGAAACTTTCTCTATTATAGCCTGATAGAGAAAAAAATTCTCTATTTTCCTATGCTATTTGATCTAGTTCAACTAAAATTATCAAAGCGAAATTCCGATAAAATCGATTTTTTTAGCATGTCTAACGGTTACTGTGAACATTGTCTCAATAATGGTGAATGAGGTTTTCTGAATAGCTTTTGATGGAAACAAGATAGAGANATATTCCTCAATGAAAATATTCGACAAGGTATCATTTTGTTGACAGGAGAGAAAAGAATCGGATTATCGCTGGAAGACACAAGCGAATGTTCAAACTTTTCAAGTAGTCTACTGTATATCATCCGTCTATGAGTGACTTAGTAAAGCATTTATGAAAATTTCCATGCGCGTGATGTGAAAATAGAAAAACAGATGACAAAGGTCAATGGTTGGTCGTGAGTGGTCGTCTGACTAGCCGTTGAGCGATGAATTTTTCAGTCAATATAGTTAGTGCTGGAGAATTATCCACTGACAAATGGGTAATCGGTCTGATTCCTAAAAAGACCTCTGTATCCTATTCATTCTAGTTCTAGTGTGTGACATAGTTCCATGATTCAGTTGAGCACTAGTAGCAGTCGCAGTGCGTTTTTTTTCTCTTTCAAAGTCTCTGAATGTGTTCAACATTGGGAAAAGTCTTTCAGAAAAGGGTCAGCTAATCCACAGGATGAGCGTTACTTGTTGGTTAAAATAGCTAATTCTAGAGAAATTTGTTCAATTTTTATCATCTTGCTTTTTGTTCATATTTATTTTCCATAATGCGATAGTTATATATCAATTATTTTATTCAAAAGAATTTCAAGTGTGCTGATCTTCTATGAATCCTGCCGGGTCCCAGGATCTGTGAGGGTCCGCTTTTTTCCTTTGGAATCCATACGTATATAGAAAGATAAACAATATGGAAACTTACACTAAAAATTAAGATAAAATATAAAATATTTAACACATATTTACGAACAGCACATATTTCGATTGAAAACTGAAATGAATGCGTTATTTTCGATGATAGTTAAACAATTTTTTGAGTTGCTGACGAAATAATTGACTTGATAATGTAAAACAATAGAATGTTGTACATGCACTTGTAGAAGATACTAAACCAACAAGTATTGTAAACATATTATCTTTAACTGTCTGAAGAGAATCTTTCTGTATATTTATTCTCAATGCTGTATAAATACTTGCGACTGAAAAAGGAGTTGTTGTTGAAATAAAATAAAAACATTGAATTAACATCATTTGAATCAATTGACGATCAGTTGTTTTTTTAGATTTTAATTGATTTTGTAATGGTGACATAGGTTCAGATTGTGTACGACTCTGTGATTTCTGTACCGCTACTTTTTGCAGTGATCTTTGAATATTTCGTATCGATAATAATCCAAATATTAACATCAATAATGATGGACCTAAACTAAATATCAATAAATTCCAAATACCATGAAAAAGTGGATATGTTGTTTGAGTATAAGGACATTTTGTATGTGTTTGAATATTTTCAAATACAATCAATATATAAAGATAAAAAAGACCAATAATTATAATGATCAATAGAATAATTCGATTGACAATACGAAGATTACTCCATTGTCGTACATTAACAGATGTTGAACTACATAGAAATCTACAAAGAATTACACAATGTCGTATTACTCAGTTTTTTCTTCAAATTTTCTTACCGATCGACACAAGCAAAAACAATAAACCAATTTGGATAAGCTCTAAAACAAATGAAAAATATTCAAAATATCATTTATATTTATAAGTTATAATCAATACTTTACACAAGCCGTAGCATATGTTAAAATTTTACATGATGCAGTTGAATATCCAAAAGGATTATACATTGGATATGTACTTTGAACAAGACGCATTGGAATATTTATTGTCGCAACTAAAAATCCACTTATTGTTGCTGCTAAAAAATAACGTGCACATGGATTTGAATAAAGTATTGGACGTGTAAATACATAAATATTAAGTAAATGACCAATAGTACCAAAACAAATTAAAAAATAAGAATAAAATTGATTTATTACTTGATTAACATAAGTAATATAATTAATCTCAGCAAGAGTTGCATTTGATGACGACATTACTTTGTGCTAAACAACTGTTGTTAATAATGAGAATATTTTATAAATATAAAATAATTAGTTAGTTAAGTACAAAGAGATTTTCTTCCGTAAGACACTTTCATATATAGAAATAGAACAAAAATAAATCTCTTTATAAATAACTTTAGAGATTATTGTTTTTGTGCAATCAAAAAGTGCGTACAGTAATAAAATCGGTCACAGTGTCCGTCCATCCGTCCGTTTATTCGATAACTCTCCAAAAATATGAGCGATTAACCAAATTTTTTTCCACAAGTTGATCTCAAGAATATCTAGGTCGAGTACGAAGATGAGAACGATCGGTCAAGAGATGGCTGAGATAGCGTTCAAACTCTAAAAAATGACCTCTGTATTACTGAGAGGGAATACAGGGATTTAATTTTTCCCCTTTCTGTATATATCCTTCTAATAAGTTTTATCAGAGCAACGAGGTGCTACCATAGGGGTACTTTTGAATCCTCATATGCTATTATAATATTCTTTTATGTGTTTTCAATCTCGCGTTTAGCGCTTTCAGGCAATGCTTTTGCACTCTACCTAAAAATCAGTACTTTTCTAGAATATCTCAATGCGTTCATCGATCTCTTTACACAATTTAGTCTCTTTCATACCTGCGTCGAGCTGAAAGATGAGCCTGTTTGAATGAGTCATTTCTAAGTTGGTGTAAAAGTACTGATATTCTCTTTGTTTATTCTGTATTTTCTGATACACTTTTCGCAATACACATAACTTTCGGATAAAACCTGAAGTTTCTGCATTTATTTATTATTCGCCTAAATTTCATTATAAAACATTGTCAAGTTATATTCATTAAATATAGTTTTCTCTTTAACATTTTTATATCAATAAATGAATAGAATATACACTACTTTTTTACCTAAACTCAAGGTGACCAGATGTGAATAGTCAAAAATCAGAAACCAATCAGAAAGATACCTATTTTGCATATCAGTCAGTTTGAGTGATATGTTAACATAGTATTTTCGAATCTTTCGGAAACATTTGTTCATTAACCTCCTGTATACCGACGATTTTTTCGTTCTTACAGAACGCTAAAAGAAAAATATAAAATCACTCTCTCTTGCGTTCGGATACTTTAAATCAGCTGAAAACATGCGCCATGTTTGAACATATATGAAGTTCATGAACAAGCCTCTATTGATTTTCTCTCATACACATATGTTCTTCGACGCGACAGAACGAAAAAATCTTTTTCTGTCTTCAATTGAAGATAGCGGTATTCAAGAGGTTAACTCGTCCTTTTCTTTCAAAAGCATCACATCCTCGATAAAAACAACTTAGATCTTATATTGTTTAGCTAATACGATCAATAATAATACAAAATAAATAATTAGCATCGAATTGTTTTTGCAGTGTAATCAAAATCCATTTATAAAAAAAACTACATACACCTTATACTCCTTAATAGATAACTATTTCCTAATAAAGGCACTTTTTTTACGTCAAACGTCGATCAGATGATGCGCATGTCTGGTTGATGAAATTATTATAATAGGAACATTTATACCATCATTCTATAAACTATTATTTCTTTCTATATGTACAATAAGAAAATGAGAATGGATGTATATAGTAAAATAATAAAATCTTCAATTTTTTAACGATATTGGATTTTAAGAACTAATAATAATCTAGAAAGAATTCAGATGGTGTACTTTTCAATGATTGTGGAGATGTGCTACGATTTTGTCATCGGTGTGAAGCTAGCACGAAGGAGCTAGCACGAACAAACGATGTGTTAGGTAAAAACTTTTTTACTAAGTATGTCCCGTCCATGAGAACTACACCATTCGACTCAGAATTTAATTC